CCCTTTTTACTATATTCTTTTATTATTTTCTTATATATTCTATAATTTTCTTAGTTAGTTTAGATAAAATTATCTCTTTAGCTATTTTCTTTTATTTTGCTTTTTTATTAATAAATAAGCTATTTTTTCTATTCTTTCTAAAAATACTACTTTTATTAATATTAACTTCTTTTCTTATAATTCCTAGAGCCCTAAAGGCTATATATATATAGCAAGTACTTTTCTTATAGTTTAGGAAATTAGTAAGTAGCTTTTATTTAAACTAAACCTCATATAATATATTATTTTTAGAAAGAGCTAATATAGCTATAATATTAATTACTTATATTTATAATTAAATACTAGTATTTACTTATATAGCCTGTAATTATTTCTTAAAGATTTAATTAGTAATTTTAATAGAGCCCTAAGATTAGAAATAATAATTTTTATTTCTTTCTCTTTATAAATCTTAATTGCTTTTTTTTTTAAATTTACTCTTATTATTATAGGCTAAAATAGTAATATTATAGTAGGGATTTTACTCCTATTGGTCACGTGGTTCTGTCATGTGACCTCCGGACATCCGTACAGTCCGCAGTCCGCTTATATTACCCCTCTCTCCTTTATAGTTCTTAGAAATCAACCAACCTTCACTCTCTAATTTCACGTCTCACTCGTACGCTGTGATCCCACGCTGTGGAAGCCCATTCTACTCAATATATTACTACTTGTTTTATATCCCTATTATAATATATCTATTATTATTTAGCTATTGTGGTACGGCAGGCCGTACTCGTCAAAAATCATGTCGTTTTGGCGGTTTTGAGGTTTAGGTCACATGGCAAAGGCCGCGGCCTTTTGCACGTGACTTGCGGAAATCACATAAGAAAGCTGGTTTTTCTGTAGACTTAGAGAATAATCCTTTATGAGTATTCAATCAATTGAGCTTTTGCATACTGTATACTGTTCATGCTTTACTGTTTATGCTTTTGATTTATTGTTTTGCTGTCAAGTCACGTTTTGCGCTCTGGTGTACTTTATGTGGGTTTTTGTCTTGTCGCAGTTTCCCTCCCACACTATTTAATAAGCTTATTTATAGCTTTATTTATAATTTCAGTTTTAAGACTATAGATTCAAATAAACTTAAAAAAATAGTATTTTAATTACTAGATTTATATATATATTCTTTATCTAGATTATACTATAATAATATTAGTAAATAGTATAAATAAAAATTATTAGAATTTCCTAGAAATTTTCTAGGAAAATTATAAAAACTATAAAAATTATAAAAATAATAACAAAAGCTTAAAAATATAAGAAATATAGAAATATAGGAAATATATACTAGTCAAAATAATAAGATTAAATAGATATAATTCTCGTATTATTCTTTTAAATCTTTTTCTTATTATAATAAGTATAATAAGTATTTATTTAAATATAATTATTACGAAATAGGCTATATTAAATTCGTCTTATATATTTAAATATAATATTAGAGGCTATTATATAATTAATATAAAAATAAATAAATTTAAAGAAATATTTACTTATAAATAGTAATTAAAATCTTAAAAGTATTATTATAATAAAGAATATACCGGGCTAGAAAAATCTTATTATAATAAGTGTTATAGTATTTTTTATAATATATCTAATTATTCTAAAATTTATATAATTAGGATTTATATTTAATATTAGTCTAATAATACTTTTCTATTTTAGTTCTATTAAGAAGTAAAGTATTAGAATTTTATAATTATTATCTAATATTTATATATTTCCTAATAATAAGAATTTGATTTTTTAATTTTTTAATAAGCCTTTAATTTCATATAGCTTTATTTTTAGTAAATTAGTATTTATAGTACTTATAATATAAACTATATCTAGAAAATAAAAGAGTAAAGGCCCTATATATATCTAGAAGCTTTAGAGAAGTATTTTTATTTCTATTTTTATTTCCTTTAATACCTAGAAAAAAAATTAAATAAACTATATAATATTATAGGTATAATATAAATAAGTAAAATATAAGCAAAATAAGAAAATTAGACTTAAGGATATATTTAGTATTAAATATTAGAAATCTATATTATAGTATAAAGAATAAGGCTTAAGCGAAATAAAGAATATAGAATTACGAATTGTATTAGCATCTATGAAGATCGCCGAAACTGCAAAGGACGACAGCTCCGCTATAAGAACGCTTGCTCTGATGAGTATTGCGTTCCTCCCTGTGACTTTCATTGCCGTGAGTTACCAATATTTTCTATTTCTAAATGCCGTTAGGAGTAAGCTTATTCTCGCAGAGTCTTTCTTTTCTATGGGTATGTTCGATTGGTCAGCTAAGGCTGGAAGCTCCGTTATATTAGAACAATCACCTGAGCAAGATCTGTCAATCTTTACATTTTTTTGGCTTCCTACTTTCTAGTCAAATATAGTCACTCTGACCTCTATTCTCGCATCACATTTTCGTCAAGTTTGACGAAAATGCTCAAAGAGCCGATTCAAGTTCCTAGATCCTAAAATAGACACCTTCCAAAACAGGGTAGGGAATAGTGTGACCTCAGTCCAGTGCCACCGCGGTGGTGTAGTGTAATATAGCTGTAGTGTAGTTTAGTGCGGATATACTAAACCGCGGTGGGTGCGGTGCAACTGCGGTTACACCGTGGTGCAACCGCAGTTTAAGGGGCAGTCTCGCTTAAAATTAGTTAAGGATATCAAGTGACTTATAATAGATAGAATATATTCAAACCTCAATGTAATTAAATAATTCTTTTATTATTAGAAAATATAGATCTAGGGCTTTCAAATGGATTAAACATTATAATTTTAGGTATGGTGGTTGTGGAAATATAGTTAAGTGCTTAATCGGGAATTCTTGAAGTTATTTACCGAGTTCTTGTTCCGGCACCGGGAGAGAATTTTTTCTTTAATTCTAGCCTCTCTTGAATTCCTCTCAATCAGAACGCGTCCTATTAATCAACCACTATGCAAATATGCCTCCAAAGGCCCAATCGAGACTCCCTTTTGGGAAAACCACTTAATCAAGCTCTTCCAATAAGAGAAATTCGTCAGTAATCGACCTAGAAGCCTCCGAGATTAATAGCCAAGCCTCTATAAATTCGACTCTAGCTCCTCCCGAAATATCGAATTCTCCTCCCGAAACCTTTGAACCCCTCCAAAAGCCCCCGAATAAGAAGACTCTATATACGTCCTAGGTATTTAAGTGGATGAGAGGGACAGATAATATGCAGTACGTGTTTTATAATATAGCTGGTAAGGAGGAGTGGCGTTATTGATTTTGCTTACAAAATTACTAAATCAGTGGTGGGACTAGTACTATTAGGGCCCATTTGGATATACATAATATTAAGAAGGACTCCTCTGCAGATACTAAGGCCAAGAATGTCCAAATCGCAATCGAAGAAGCTATTGAATCAGCGGCTCAGAACCTTCAAAAGCGTAGACGACTAAATAATTCGGACGGTAGCGAAATACCCCTTAATAGAGACGTTCTTGAGGTTCTTTATATCAAGTTTATTGCAGCTTGCAATATACTACTACGCTTAGTAGAGTGCCCCGAATTTAGAGCCTTGCTTTCATACCTTAATTCTAATATCGATTAATGGCTCCCAATAGCCCATAAGACGGTACGAACCTGGGTTATATGGCAATTTGAGATTAAGAAGGGAAAGATTAAGATACGCCTTTAGAACTCTAAGACTAAGATCCACTTATCCCTTAATATTTGGACTTTACCAAGTAATAAGCCGATCTTTGGTATTATTACTTACTATATATCTGATACGGGGGTACTAGAGCGGGTTATACTTGCTATAAAGGAAATAGAAGGCAATTATAGCGGATTAAACCTTATACTAGTTCTTATGGACGTAATTAGGGACTGGGGAATCGCACTAAAGCTGGGGTATATAGTAATAGATAATGCAAGTAATAATAATATGATAATACTAGTACTCTCGACAGGTACGTGTTTTATATAGGAATTATATAGGTATTGGCTAATTTTGACAGAATTACTTTATGAGTATAGCATAATCTATGACCCTGTTACCTATAGAATTCGATACCAAGGCCATATAATTAACCTATCTATTAACTTCTTTATTTATGTTACGGATAAGGAGAATCTGGAGAAGGAAGAAGAGCCTGGAAAGCTTAAGCAAACGCTAAAGGAGATTGATTAATGGCGGAAATATGGACCGATTAGCAAGCTATATAATATTATTATTAATATCTAAAGTAGTACCTAAAAGATATAGGAATTTATAATATTAAGCAAGCAAAATCGCCCGGTACGAGATAATAAGATATACTGGAATTCTATAGCACGAATAATCAAGAAGGCTATTATATTCCCGGTTTACGAAGCTATTAACCTATATATTAAATGCCATTAATTAGATAAGGTTGGAGAAGACGAGCTTTTAGAAGAGGATTAGGCTACTTTATGTAATATTTACGAGCTCCTGGATTAACTTGCCCAAACCATACTTATACTAGAGTTCTCGGTATCTATATTAGATAATGTCTTACCTGTAATGGATTTTATTCTTGAGCTTTTTGAGCAAGGGAAAGCCCGATATAAGAAGGATAATACTATAGTATTAATATATAATTCCGGGTGGGCAAAGATAGAGAAGTACTATAATATGACTAAAGAGAGTCCTGCTTATATTGCCGCTATTATTTTGGACCCTAATTTGAAATGGAAGTATGTGGAGACTAATTAGAAGCATAAGTGGGTTCCAAAGGCGAGAGCTATAATAAAAGACCTTTAGGAAAAGTATAAACCTGATCCTTAACGATCCCAATCGACTACTACGCTATTAACTGAAGCTTCTACTCAGAATGCCTTTAGCCAGTAGAAGAAACGTTACCAAGGAATACCAAACCTTGAGGACGAATATAAGAGATACTGTATAGCTAAGTATACGTACGATATTAATTTAAGAGTATGGTGATTGGAAAAGACTTAGCAAACTAGCTATCCTAATCTTAGCCGTATGGCATTAGATATCTTAAGTATTCCTGCTATATTAGCTGACCCTGAGCGTCTGTTTTCTAGCGCCAAGTTACTAATTTCGGATCTACGGAATAAGCTCGGTATGGATATTATTAAGGCCTTTGAGTGCTTGAAATCATGGTATAAGATCAAGGGATGGGAAGCTAAATCAGAGTGGTTGGAGAAAATTATTGATATTAAAGCTGGTTTGAGCTTGTAAAGTCACGTGAAACTGGCAAACTACGGTTTAAACTACGGTTTTGAGGATATAATCGTAGTTTAGTTTAGTGGAGAGACCCCTTAGTTTAGTTTACTTAAATTGCACCGTAGTTTGAAACCGCAGTTTGCACTATGCCCTACACTGTTCCAAAATATATCCATTATTCTATCCACGGTATAAGTTGGTTTTACATAGATCCCCTGACCCCGCCTGATCATCTCCGTTCATTTCGTGAGCTTGACATAACGATAGTCTCTCTGTATAAGAGCAAGCATAGTGCCTCTCAGCACTCTTCAAATCAATGTCCGTCACCAGTCGGAGGCACCACAGAGTAAGACTCCGATGTGAATAAGAGCTCACCTCTATCCTCCATTCCAGCCGGATCAACATAAAGTCGCATATCAATTTTATCCTTGTTGAGATTGAAAACGCGAAGGATTATATAGACTTCAGCTGATGCTTGAACACCCAGTCTCATATCTTGCATCTAAATTCTCGTCAGCCTAGAAGCAGTGTAATTTTCGGACAGCAAATATACTCTTTTGTATTGACTCTTGCTCAAAAAGAGCCGAGTGGCACATTCTTTTGTTGTCGACTTCACTTCGAGGTAGTACTTTGGCTTCGCACGAGCCCAAATAGACGTATCCAGGTAACCATTCGCGATTAGAAGCTGTGTAAATTCTCCTTCAGTATCATCGTATGTAATATCCGCCGTCTCCGGTTCTCGCCACGGTTCCATGTCGCTGTAATTCTCATGGACAGTAACATACTTGCGGATTCTGCTCTGCCAGTTATCGCGACAGAATCCAGGGAGAGAAGTCTCGAGGCGGGAGAGAATTTCAAATGCCTATACATGTCAGAACTCTGCCTAAACTCTGTGGTTTTTGTACACATGTAAAGCTCTCCAGCAGCTCCAACTTTCATATCATGAGCAAGTTGGTTCTCATTCCGGACTCCGAAAGGTAGATCGTAATTGTCCACTTCTCTTGTCGCCTCTACCGGAAGAGCGTTCAAGAGTTCGCCGAGATTGAAAGCTCCCTGGGATGGAAACGCTCCTCTTTTATTCCTTGCTGCAGTGATGATATTGTTGAGTAGTCGTCGATACTCCACTTGGTTACCCCCAGGCGTAAATGGGCGCCGTGCATTCTCTGGAAAGGCCGGCTCGGGGCTTGTTCTTGGGGGACTGTCAAAGAGCTGAATTGGTTGTGATGGAACACTTGAATGATAAGTTGCTTGGTGCGTAGAAGTCGCAGGGATAGAGAAGTTGGTGCTTCGAGCGGGTGAGGCACTAGTTCCAGGAGTTGTAATTCCTGCCTGCGTTCCTGATCCAACCGATGCGTTTTCGCTTTCCGCGTTATGCTGTTGATCAATACCTGGACTAAGCCAGACGTCGTCCGGAGGCGGTTGCTGGAGCACTTCTTCATATTGATCAGGATATGGTACTGGGATAATACCAGCCTCCTCTAGTACCAAGTTGACGACCTCGTCGCTAGACGCGAAGATTGCGGTAATGATCGAAACAGCTCTTGAATCAAACGCCAATGTAGAATTGCTGTCGACTTCCCCCATCATGGTCTCGTTGAATAGCTTCGTGGGAAGTAGCCGAAGATAACAGATCTCTTGATCCTTTGAATCTTTTGGAACATATATGTTCAAACCCTCCGGTCCTTCTTCAACGTGAAGCTTTGTTTTGCTGACTTCGACGATAACGGTTTCACCAAGAAGGGTATACTGAAGACTTCCAATTATACCATCCGTTTCATAAACTTTTGTTTTAAGAAGCAATTGGTAGAGAGTTTGGCTGTCGTTCTTGGTCTTAGGGCTGCCGAAGTGTGTCGCACAGCTACAAATATCAGCCGAGGATCTTTTCAAGGCGAGAAACTGAGCACCTACCGGGAGAGCGCATAAGCACGTCGTCGCAGATGTCTAGTCCTCTTGGCGCTTGGCTCTGGAAGAATGCCTTGGAAGGAAGATTTTTCAATCACAACCTCAGACAAGTATCCGCCGACCTCCATACCCCGACAAAAATGGCTCCAGAGCCCGGATTTCTTTGAGAGTAAAATCGAGAAAGTCTAACTTCCCATCAAATGCATCAGCCCAGAGTTGACGGTCAATAATCGAGAACCTCGCCAGCCTTGTCCACAGCTCAATGCTCCCGTTTGTCTTCCTTACAGGGAATATTTTAGACCCGCGCAACCTGGCCAAGTCCTCTGTGGTCGGAGCAAACGTATTGATTTGCCAAATAAGACTCTTGATATCATTGGTGGATGGTGAGGATTGTGCGACTCGTTTGAGTTCTTCAACAAGCAAACGCAAATCGGGGATTTTGACCTTAAGCACTCCTACAAACAAGTCCTTCAAATCTTTATACTGCCCACTGATAGTACTCCTGCCTGGCACTTGAGCGTCTTTTGACCACAGGCACGTTGATGGAGCAGCCCAGTCTTGACCCAGCATATCGTAGATCAGCGCATCTTTTTCGAAAGAAGCCCTAGAGTTCGACAAGTCAGTAGAGATTTCACGGCCAGTCATGAGGTTTTCATTTCTTACAAGATCGCTTCCAATTCTTCTGACCCCAGATCCGCTGACATTCTCTGGAGGCGAAGGTAGATATCTTGAACAGCTATTGTGTCTGGTTTATTTTCTGCTTTCATCGCTCCGAGCTCGGAAACCAAATCGACCCAAGAAACGTCTTCAATATCGAGAGTGTTTTGAAAGAAAACTGTAAGTATGGGAGTGTTAAGATGTGACAAGGAAGGGAGTAAAGCCCATAATTTTGTCATGTAGTCCGGTCCATCCCAACGGCAACGTCCCGAATAAGTCCAAGTGGGCAGCATTTTCGGACAGGACAGTGCTAGTACGAGGTCGTTATCCCATATAAAATCCCTAAAGTATGACCTAGTAAGCATCTAGGATGAATCGTAGATGCGGGAAGGAGGAAAACGAAAGACAATTCATACCTGACTCTTTTTATATCCTCATTCGAAGTGCTCGAGACCCAGATCTCCCGCTGAATGACTTCGTATAATTCATATCGAAATGGACCGTTCGATAACTTGCAGTAATACAGTATCTGCAACCAGAAATCAAGGCCACCCTCGATGCCAACGTGAAACGCACTCAAAAATTTCCATCCTTCGATATTCGGTTCATTTTCCAGTTTCAAGAAAGGGAATTTCTGTGTGTCGAGAAACTCGCCACATCTGACTGTAAGCGTCTCCGATGGAATGAAAGTCTCTTTTAACGCAATTGAGCCAATGTTTGTGCCAGGAACCAGAGTGTCAGAGATTTTCGATGCCAAGCCAGTACTCATCACCGTCGCGTAGGAAGCCCAATGTGCCTTCAATGTTCCCAACAACTTCTCCGGACGTGCTTCAATAATGTACCGGAAAATTGGTGACAGTTGCGTAGGATCTTTGGAATCCACAAGCCGTGGATGGTTTAATATACCAACGGATTCTTGTAACCAGGCCTTGAATGGGAGGTGGGATCCACCACGTTTTACCGGAAGAAGCTCAATTCGCTTGCAATAATCGGGACGGATGAAAGAGCCGACAATGCCACTGTTGTATGGCTTTATCTCCAGGACCGATCCCATCAGCTCTTGGAGACCATATTCCTCATCACTTTGAAAATACAAGTCTTCCTCATCGTGAATTCGATGATCCCGATGGTTAAATACCCATAGAGAAGTTGATTCGCGGAGCTTAACTGCTGTTCCAGGAGGACAGGTCGAGTAAAGAAAATGGAGATCTTTCAAAGATGTTTCGAAGTCGATGGAAGAGCTTTCTTTCTTATAGCGTGCTAGTATGAGTGCTCTGATGTCTTGGATCGAGGCAGATTTAACACCAATGGTGACAAAAGCTTTTTCCTCGTCGGGTTCGTGGTAGCTTTTTCATCGACAATTCTTAATCCAAGATAGCTTGGGATTATTATCCCATCAGTGTGAGGGAAGAATACAGCGCCCTCGGTGATTGCTGTCCACTTCCCATTTTGCAGTGGGATACATGCTAGTCCTCGGACCCAATCCGGTCCCTTAGTTTTCCATTTCTCCTCAAAAGGTCGCAGCAAAAGTTTCGCGGTCCTCGTGTGCCAGTCCTCATTTGTTTCTGGTGATTTGAACCTGGACCCGGAACTTGGCTGTTCCAAATCGTGTCGGAAACGTTCCATTACAGAACCAAAGCCAAGCACACCTAGGCCCAGGCTGACGAGAGCCGCTATATCTTCCTGTTGGTATTCTGATGCAAGATACATTTCCTCGTCCAAATCAGGAACAAGAGCATTACCGAATTCATCTGTAAAGTCCTCCCCGATTTGCTTCAACTGACTGATGGGCCGAAGAGGGCCATGGCTGTGTCCACGTAAGACTGCACGCCCCTTGAGGAGCTCGTGGATCTTGTCTTTCAGGCGCTCCCAGAAAGTGTTGGAAATCTTCCCTGGGATATATCGCGGCCACTTATACTGAAGGGTAGGGTGATTGCAAAATTGACACACAGCGTCCAGAAATGCTTCAGCTATGCCGTCGAGGATGTCTTTGTTTCGGTGGCTTTCCATCACATCCTGCCGACTGGCCTGTGTAACGAAGTCGGATTGAATAAGAAACTACAAGTTGTTAGTCTTGTATACATATGAAGCTCAGATTCACTTAACGGAAAACCCAAAGTCCTCGATAGGAAGGTAAGCATAAACCTTCTGGGGACCAATAATGGGTTCGGATTCGCCATCGAGGGGGAACGCAAGCACTACTTCTGCAGTATCACAGTCTCGCTGTTCATCCAGTGGTAGATCCTTCAGTAGTTTCCGCGTAATGTGGTAGTGCTTCAAAGACGCCTGTGGATGCTCGGAACCTTTACGGTGGACCTTGCTTAAAGTTGCCTGTCTGGAGGATTCGTCTAGAGTGCAGGAGAATGTGGTAGACTCTGCACTCTTTCCAGCGAAGTCGATTTTGTCAATCGTAATTGTCCCAAGCTTGTTCAAAAAGAGGAGAAAAGTGTCAGGGAGAGTATCGAATTGCGAAAGTAGTTCCGGATAGTCCAATGTATCGAGGAGGGTTAATGTCATACGGGTCAAAGGATTTGGCAAAGCTACCTCGGCAGGTTCCCACACTGGAGTTACCAAGCCCATCCCCCGCGCTCCCGGTGGATGCTCGAAGAAGAAGGAAAAGGGGCCTGATTGGATATGAACTTTTGATGCGACCATAAAGACGGATTTGAATCCGATGCCTTTTTCGCCAATATACTGCTGCGCGCCAGCTCTTTTCTTAGTGCTCTGTCCGACCTTGCATATTGCTACAACATTTTCGGTGGTAAATCCATCTTCATTGGAATCGATAACTATCTTGTTGCGATATACCGTAAACTTGATATAGGGCTCAGCACCGCTGGAGATAGCTCTCCTATAATCATTGTCTTCGGCATTTTGGATCAATTCAAAAACGAATCGAGCTTGGCTCTTGTAGAGGTTCGTTGCTAGTCTATGCAATTGTCAAGAATTGCTAATAGACCTTAACAGGGTGCATACGTTCTGACTGCAATCCCAAGGCTTTCTTGGAGCATATCTATCGCTTCAAGAGCTTCCTGATCGCTCGCATCACGCGCTCTCTGACTGATCCATCCATAACCACGTGCGATCCGTTGGACAAGCTGCTGGGCCTCCGCCGAAGATATGAGATCGTTGGTTGGCATCGAAGTAGCGTTTCTATTCAGTGGCAATGAACAATTCAGTCACAAAGGTGGTCTTCTTTTGGAATATCAACAATTTCCAAACAACTTTATACTGAGCATTCAGTAGGAGCAAAAGAGGCTCGCGTATTGTGAAACTCGACAATTGATTACAGCGTATCAGGCCTGTTAATTGTAGCGAGGCAGGGGGTTCTCGGGTTGCACGGATCGGAAAATCGCCGGAATTAGTTTGAACACCCTTTCCCGCCCCCGGTCTCGCTACATTTAATCGGGCAGCGACGTTGTATTGAGGGGGATTTACCTTCTCACATCTCTGTTATGACCGGCGAAAAACATGCAGGGGGTCAGTTTGTGACATTCTTAGGCCTGTCACTCGTTTCATTTTCGAGGGTGAACCGAACCGTCGGGATCACGAACTCGTAAATCACCCAATACATTTGAACAGTTCCATTGCACCTTCTTCATCCGTTCACCTGCCCATACAGTCTACCCCTGATACGGCTGCTGGACATTCGGAGAAGCTATCATTGCAGAATTAGGGCAGCGGTCCACCTCATGGCGCCAAAATAGGGCTCTGCTCAGGTATGCCCACCCTCGGCTCAGGGTAAGGAGCAGGTGCTCGCGTCCGGAGACTAAAACAGAATCATGGAAAGGGAAATTAAACCCTGATCTAGGGGTAGCCTATTGCTTCCAGCGAAGCGTCTTGGATACTATCGGAGTAACGCTCCATTCCGCCGACTACATCTTTGTCCCGATGTTTGTTTGCTCGTTCTCGAACTGCCCGGTAATAACTCGATGGGTTTCCTCTGTCGGTACGTCCGAAACCCTCCTCTCTGGGTGGTCTCTTCCGTCGAAAGCGTCCTCAGTCTCAGTCCACATCTGACCCCTCCAGGGCTGTACGTTCTCAAACGGGTTCTCTTTCCCGAAAGAGTTCGGCATAGTAAGCAGAACTCCCTTAGCTGATGGGCGAGGGATCTCTCGATCTCCTCCGTGTGTCTCTAACATCTTCGCCACTAGCCCAAGGCAAGAGTCTGCGCATCGGCGCTGGCTCGGTGTTGCCCAGCGAGCGGAGCATGTTCCGGACTGTGTCTAGCTTCGAAGAACGAGAATAAATAACTGGTGTTTGCTGTGTACCATGGTCAGCGAGGGCTTCACGAACTTGCTAGAATTGACGAGGGTTACTCACATCCGACAGAGAGGGTCTCGGTAGATCCATTCCATAACTGGTTGCGGATTATGTACTCGAGTTTGCTGGGGTATTTCCCAAACGCCGTCGGGAGCTTGGCGGGGCCCTGGGCCTAGAAGGCAGGTGGAGCTGGATAAAAAGCTTGGGGGTGAGGCGCTTGAGAAGGACGTTGGTGAGAGGTTCAAAGAGGGAGTACAAGACGAAAATAAACAGAGCAGCGTTTGCTTATTGACGCCCTACTCCCGACGGTACCAATTAGGGAGACCATGTACCGGTGTTTGCTGGAGCAATTTTTGGGCGTTCGATCTCGCTCACTATTTGAGTCAGCGGAGAGGAAGCAGCGCGAAAGATATTAGAACTCACATTCAGACGGCGGCCAGGCGATCCTTGCCGTCAGGGAGCTGGTGTTTGGATCTTTCAGTCTTTGCCTCCTCTGTGCAAGAAGACCTATTAGCAGCAGGTCCACGAGTTGTTAGGATGGGAAGAAATACCAAGCACCAAGTCCATTGATAAACTTCCCAGACCTTGGTTGTGGCATCGACAGCAGATTGACGTTGGGATTTGGGAAGAATGCGGAGTTCCGTAGCGAATTGGAAGAGAAAGAACAGGCTTTAGGCCATCCACTCAAAATATTAAACATTGCCGATATCGCTGCTTCCGCCTTCCGCCTTCCGCCTTACTACTACCGAGAAAGGCACAAAGAAAACATATCACGTCCTCCAACCCCAACACATCTCCAACGTCCCGTCTGACAGCTCCCCAAATTATGCAACCACAGCCACAGGACAACTTGGTAAGACTGCACGGGACTTGAATAGCTTTTTCTTAACACCCAATCACATTACAAGCTATCGAGAATGCCCCCTTCTCATTTCTTGGTCGAGAAGACAAGACAAGACTTTGGGGTATGTCTTCCCTTCCTTCATGAACAGGCTCTTATCTAATGATTCCAGCACGGGCAACGCGCCGGTCTAACGCATTTCACTTTACTCTGCTCAACTTCTTCGATGAGCAGACCGAGGTGGTAAAGATTGAGAACGGATACCAGCGGTCGCTGATTGGCCGTTATATCAGCACAGCAGCCCATGTTCTATACTCTTCGGATGTGTCTCCGCTTTGGCTTTGCGGATGTAAGTCCAATAAGTAGCTTCTTACAATTGCCGCATACTCGGAAGAGACCGGACTAATCTTCTCTCTCAGGATCAACCTCGGTCTCGTTCTCAAGAGAGTGCTCGGTCGAGACTACAAACTTCTCTGGCGTCACACCGTCATTCGTTGTCATCTTCGCCCCAGGGGCCCAAGGCGAAGGCAGCCGCCAGTCCTTCTAAGCCAGCTACTTCACCAAACCTCAATTAAGTTGAAAGCGTGATTGGTTCAAAATACAGCAAGCAAGTCAGACACCAGACGTTCTGCGCCTGCCTCATTGCCACCCAAGTACTTGTTCGGCAACAAGCAAGGTCTTCCAAAAATTAGGAGGAGATGAACGAAGCTGGCGAGCCTAATCTATTCGAGGAAGATGGCTACGAGGCTTATGACCCCGGCGAGCGGAAACTGGATCTTCAGTTGTCAAAAGCCAGAGGGTGAGAATCAGCTCAGAGCGAGAGTTGTGATATTGGATTGAGAGGTAAGATCGACTACCTCACCGACATATCTGCGACATCTTCCTCCCAATTATCGTCCGGAGACTGATATTGTAATCATTAGCCAAGACAAGAGTGGCCACTGCTAAAGGAGACTGTTAGCAATTCCCGCAGGAGGAAAGGCAATCGTTCTTGCTGAGCGGATAGCTGCCAAGGCCAGGAAGGGATGGAAGCACTTCGATTATCAATTAAGTTTTCGACGCTCCATAAATGAGAGAAAGTCGACAACAAGGACTCTGTGGCCTACCGTGCATTCCAACGTCTTCCTTCCTCGATCTTTTCCCCACACATATACACCTCCGATGGATGGATACAATACCAGAAATGCAGAGGTAAGGCTAAGAACTCCCATTACTTGGCTTTTCTCCCAGTCAAACCTGCACACTGCTCCTCCCCCAGACCTGCCACTAAGATCTACAACGACCTCTATCTCCACCTCCAACCAAATCTCAGGCAGACTCCGCCGCTGCTACATATGTGTAGCCACTGCGGGCGGGTCCGGACAAGAGTTTTTCTAGAAGCAATCCAATCAATGTTCCCCCAAGATTCTACCATTCTTCACACCACCACATAATTATTAAGTTCATTCAAAGGGTATCATTGCTTCGAGTCAAGCTAACGTTTTTCTTATTACAGAATGACCGGGATGGCTTCGCTACGGTCCTCCGTATGAACTTCGTTAGGGCGAAAAAGGTAGCCTCTTCCTGGCCCCCCTCACCGCTCCGCTTGGCTTCTAACGGAGTTCCATAGAGCTGAGATGGAAATAAATCTAAAGACCAATTTGGCCTTCACATAGGGACTGACTCCTGGGGAGAACCCAGTTCCCTTGAGCTCCATTGCCCAGCATTTCCCAAAGCGCAAACACCTTCCACCTCGGGAAACCCCAATATCCGGTGGACCCTCAGCTTTCTTCAATGACCGCATACCACCCCTTCCCTAGTAAGCCGCCATTCTCGATTACTCTTCCAAATGCAGCGACTCAACAACATCCCCTTGACCCTAGTCTCATCGCCGGCTCGCCACCTGTCAGTTCTGACCTTCCGCCTTACGCTGCTCTGTACATCCGCCTCGGGAGCAACTGGAGGTCGCCTCCGGTCTAACATGAAGACGGTTCTTGTACACGTCTCATTCATGAGGATAAATACAACGACATTCAAAATGTCCCTCGGGGTGGAAAGGCCACTGGTGGTGGACTTTCCTGTCCCGAAGACTGCCAAGAATTGTAAGGTTACCAAAAAGACCTCCAAGAAGAAGGCTGCCACGTCCGTCCAGCAACTCAAGGCCAATGCCATCAAGTGATGGAAGCACTTCGGCAGAACCAGCTTTCAACTCTTCATTAACGGGAGAAGGCCGATAACAAAGGAACCATGGAGACGAGATGAAAATAAAGCTCAAGATGAGATTGGCCCTCAAGAACCGCCCTCTAGGCACTGCCGCCAGAAAGGCTGCTGATGGTGAACCTTCTTCCCCTTCCGTCCCAAAGACAACCAAGGCGGGTACTCTCCTGGGAAGCAGAGAAACTAAGAGAAGACTGAGTGTTCCCCCGGTTGCCGATTATGAGTGAGTTCAGGCTCGAGAGGAGGCACCACGCGAGAAGCAGCGTGTTGGTGAGGAGACTGCCAAGAGACTGCGGGAGGAAAAGCGGAATGTGTAGAGGCCATTCACAGAGAGCAGGACGAGCCAGAGGTCACCAAGACCACCCCCAAGGAGAAAGCTGTCAAGGAGGAGTCTGAGTGGAGGGAGACGAGGAAGAGGTAGATGTGAATGTGTGATACTGTTGCTAGTGTTATAAGGTTTTCGAGGACCAGTTCGATCGTTTGAACGAGGCCAATCGGGCGAAGTTGAAGGAAGAAGAGTACGAGGAAGCACGTCAGTCTCCAGCGAAATAAGCCCCAGCACAAGTGACAACAAGCTCCTGGCAACATTCTCCAGGAATAGAATGCCAGACCGGGCAATTTATGAAAAGAATCCATCAGCAAGTGATGTTCGGTACAATGAGATTGGTTTGTTGTATTTTCTCCACGCTATAACTGCAGCAAACCTTGCAAAAAATCCAATGTTGAAAAGATTTTCAATTCGATCCTAAAACTCCTAATATACGTAACATAACAGACTATTTTGTAAATTAAAATCTAGCCTCGACCTTCTTCTCCACATCTCCCAAGGCCCACGCACTCTTCTTATTCCTACTCCTCACACTCGTCGCCTGCTCCTCTGTAAACCCTTTAGCAACGACAGCAGGGTTATACCCTAACTTATTCCTCTTGCCAACCTCACTGTCCTCCACCTTCCGACTCGTCTTCCCATCCGCCCTCTTATAAATCGTGACCACGACCGCACCTCCAAGCCCCAAATTATGCTGCAACGCAACCTTCGTCCCATCAACCAACCGATTATTCGCCCATCCTCTCAAATGCCAAACAAGTTCCGCACACTGAGCAATACCAGACGCACCAAGCGGATGCCCTTTGGAAATCAAGCCGCCGGAGGGATTAATGACGACCTTCCCGCCGTAAGTAATGCCTCCACCTCGAACAAGTTCATGCGCTTTCCCCGGTGGAGAAAGCCCCATGGCATCAATAACAATCATCTCATTCGCAGAAAAGCAATCATGTAACTCGCAGACCTTGATCTCGTCCGGCTTGACGCCCGCCTCCGCCATCGCAGTCTTAGCCGCATATTTCGTCATCTCGAAACCCATGAGATCGATCGCGGACCTTGAGAACAGAGACGGCGCGTCGGTCGCCATGCACTGGCCTGCGATCAGGACCGCTTGGTCTTTGAGGTGTGGACGCGCGTCGAGGAAATCTTGCGAGACGAGCACGGCGGCGGCGCCGCCGTCGGAGGTCGGGCAGCATTGCAGCTTGGTGAGCGGCTCGTGGATCATGGGCGCTTTCATGATTTGCTCGAGCGTGTAGACGTCTTGGAATTGCGAGTAGGGGTTGCGCTGCGAGTGCTCGTGGTTGATACGTGCGATTTCGGCGAAGTCTTCGGGTTTGGCGCCGAACCTGTGGTAATTGTCAGTGAGAAGTGGAGAGGAGGGGAGGGGGAAGGGAGGGAGGATATACTTCTCCATGTATTCCCGCCCTGCGTTGCCAAACATCTGTGCTGCTCCTGGTGCATTCGTGACTCCCCTTGTAGCAGCCATCATCTCTCCGCTCGTGCCCGTAGGATTCGCTCTGTCGTTCCAGAAACTCTGCAGAGAGCCGGGATTCATCTTCTCGAATCCCACAACCAGAATACAATCCGCGCCTCCATGGCTAATAACATTTCTCGCGAGATGAAGACCCGTAGAGCCGGTAGAGCAGTTGTTATTAACGTTATAGATGGGGATTTGGGTCATGCCAAATTGGTAGAATACACGCTGCCCACAGGTTGAGTCGCCGTAGCAGTAGCAAGCCACCCCTTGGTCCACGTCGTCGTAGTTGATTTGCGCATCCAGCATGGCTTTGATGCCGGCTTCGAAACCGAGCTCGGTGTAGTCGACTTTTCCGCGGGGTTTGATGAATTTGGTCATGCCCACGCCGAGGACGTAGCATGGCTGGTTGCGTTGGATGACCATGGTGGCGGTTGTTGAGGTGTGGAGGAGTAGGGGATGGTCAGTTGTGAAACTGTAATATACCAGAAGCTGTCCCGTGGATGCAATCGTCAATTATGGAGAGGAAAGGGGCGAAAAAAAAAAAGGAAGGTTGTGTGGTATAAAGGTAGAAGTGAGGTGTGGAGAAGCTCCCCATATGGAAGCTTGACGTCGGGCGTCGGCATCTACAGATTGCGGGGAACACAGCCGGGAACACAGCCGAGGCACAAGTTAATCTGATTATAATTTGCTCCCCATTAGATTTTTTCAATGGGTCTTGTGGTTGGACGAATTACCGATTGTGAAACTTGCTTGTGATGCATCAAAAATTACTGACACGAACATGCTGACAGGGCCGTTCTGAATGGGAAGGGTCGGTTGCGTGTTCTTCAGCGACGCCACGCATATAATCGTTGTACTTCGCGCTTGATTTCTAGTCTCTTACTTTCATATTGCACGACTTGCCATTCTAACTTCTTAAGCAAGTACATAAAGGTTGTTAAGAGAAAGTCTCGGTTCATGCGCATATTAAGCTGTGGGAATCTATAAATAGAACAGCCCCTTTAATTTTTGATATTTCCTCTTGGCCCAGCAATTGGAAAAGCTGATTGTAATAACAGATGGAAAATGTCACATCTTGGATGATTACATTAAACTCTTCTCGTAACAGATATTTTGTCGGGGTGGTTTAATACTTTTCTTACTGGACACGGGATTTTGGGTACACGGCCTCCTGAGACATTCTTTTCAAGTTTTATATACAGTTGGCCCGACACAACAAGAGCAAAGTAGTCCGCCTTTTACGCCTACAACAACTTTTTAAGTATAATCTAAATTAATTAATACTCAGTGATACGATAATAGAGTAGAATTATACGAATAAAATAAATTAACCTGATATTTAATAAAATTTACATTTAATTAGTAATTGAAGTTTGAAATATATAAATTGTCACAGCCAGTGTGAGTCACGCTAGACTAGGCGAGGACACACGCAGGGAATAGCTTTGCTGCGTGGGCGAACAGGCTAAAAGGCACAATAATAAGGTTGGAAGCCCTATCAGTGATTCTACTATACAAAAGCACAGGTGGTGTGGTCACGTGGTTGCGCACGTGATATAAATTATATATACTTAATTAAATAATATATTAAACTTAAACTTATAAGGCCTCTTAAGCTTTTATAAACTTATTATATATAATAAAAACTCAAATTCTAAGAGTTATTATTAAAGATAATATAAAATATTAAAAGTTTATAATTTCAATTATATATAATTTTATATATAATATAAGGCATAGTTTTTAATTATATAAAACACGGAAATTTCTATATAAGCTTATATATAAAAAATTACGTGCTTTATAACTCTTGTAATATTAAAGATATTAAAAATCGGAGAACCAAGAATTATTTACTATAAAATATATAATAATTATGATTAATACGATTTACATTAATTAGTATTATAGTAAACTTTCTCATTTTGTCGTTATCTTGTCGGACCGACTGTAATTGCATGCTGGCTTCAAAATTCCGAAGCTCTTATTACGCCATGATGGCACCGTTAGTTCATCCCTGCACTTACGCATGACAGTTTCTGGAGCAAGGTCCCCAGTGGTTCTACTGTTGACATCGCCAAAGAATACGGATATGCAGCAATTGATGGATACTCACCTAATTGGCAAAATCATCGTTCACGAGGTTGTTTGGCCCGAAATTCAAATTTGTTTATTAGAGTACATTGCTTACACTACTTACCCAGTTTTGACGCATGCATGCCAATACAATGTACTGTACTTGACGGAAGACTTTTTGACGCCTTCGAGTTCTAAAGCTCATAGTAAGAACCTTCTAATGGAACATCTTAGCTCAGGAATGAGGTCTTAACAGTCAATAGGATGGGGCAATTGTAAAGAAAATTCGGATGTCGTGACGGTACTTGGGCCAGGGGAGAAATTGGCTTTGGGGTGGGGTAGGGTAAGCCTCAATGCCTCGCAGGGTCCACTCAACGCAGGTGATATTTGATTCACAGAAAAGAGCGTCATCTGTAACTTGGGTTTGTTTTTAACTGAATAAGATTAAATCTTGGATACACGGCGTATTTGCGGCTATTTCCTAGGGGTGTGTTTGTGGACGACGACATTACAGAAATGAACGCTGATGTGGCATAGGAGTGGGTGAACTTAGAACCTCGTAAACTTACGATCCCGGTTATTCGTATCCTCAGTACAATGCACAGGAGAGGCAAGGTCTTTTTGGGGGAGGCGGGGCTGATTCATAGGCAGCTGGGCTCTGTTTGCGCCTTGAGAGAAGTCGCAGAATAATTTAAATCTTATCCTGTAGTATGTGGACGGCAGTCTCATTGTAAAGGCGTTTGATAAGGTTACTTCAAAGTGGCATCAAGGATTTAACAACCTCCTGCCAAATTGTACATGTTTACGGCCATGTTGCTTCATCATGATAGGATTTTTCGAGGATATACATTAGAGTGTATACAGAAGGGAAAAGTTAAAGGTCCATCCTAATCTCTAGCAGTCCTTCGAATTGTGCAATGTAGCGAGCCTCAAGGATCAACGCTTCGGCGTGTTGAATTGATGAAATATCTCCGGGAAGTATGGTCCTGAGAGCGAGGGGAGTAATGTTGAATGCCTGTGACTTGGTGGTTTGACGATTTGGAGGCGCTGTGGCCGGTCCCGGGAGGCGGGAAAGGTCGAAGCAGGGGTTTCCGAGCGACATATTGGCAAATTGCAATGCCCGACTAACATTGCCGGAATGATGTTATCGGGGGCGATAATGAGTTTTACCCGCAGACATTGCTTCGATCATGGTGGTAGAGCAGGTAGATCGAAGAAGTTGATAATAATCTTGTTTTCAACATGGGTCAGTCCAACGGCCGGTATGGAAGACCAGTACTGTAATTGGCCAAAGAACTTCAAGCCCCCTGGACCTTCGTACGGACTGATGTAGATACAGTGATATGGGAGACGGACAGGGAAGAGTATCCATCTAGCAAATTGATGGAGATATCGGGGAGGTAAAGGTACGAGGAAATTAAATTCGCAAAGACCAACATAACCTCATTTAGCAAGCAGTTGAATTCTGCTCTGGATACCTCCAGGGAATTTCCTAGATAAACCAGCATCTGGGTACCGCATCGTGGGCCTACACTTCAGGGTAAATTATACGACTCTTAGCTGCCGAGATTTTATACATAAGCTTCACAACTGGGGGAGTAACTTGCCAGCAGTCCCAAACCAGCTCCTTGCCTCCGTATTCTTCCTGCACACAGAATTGTGACACTTGCCTCATACGGTATGCATAGCACCCCGACTTTTGAATTGCAGCACACCTCGGCCCGACCCTCTTATTTGTAATCCTGGTACGCATCTTTGTATCCAGCCGACCGTTCTGCAAAAACACCGAGTGCACAAGCATCACCTCAACACCAGGCCGAGAAAGAAGGGTATGTACGCCCAATGTTGAATTCCATTCTCTTTAAACCATGTGCCTATGTGCTGTCTCCCATCGTGTATCTAACAATCTCCCACTCTCCCCGCTGGCCTCTCCTCCCCAATCAATCAAACAGGGACTTCAACGCTCTTCACCACGACGCTCTTCACCTCCCCATCCGCCTCGCCCGTATTAACCTTCTTGCCTGTCTTCACGATGGTTTTCAGCACGGTCTCGTAGTCGAGCTCCGGGGCTGCGACGACGGTCGCGGTCTGTGTGTCAAGGGAGACCTCGTAGGATTTGACGCCTTTGCACTTCGTCAGCTCTGTTCATTTCATTTTTACACTGAAGATCGAGGTGGAGGACGCCGCGCGGGCTTTTAGGGGCCTCGCTGCGCAAGAGTCGGGGCCCCGGACACAGGAGGGGCAAGGGAGAGAGGGACCAGAGAGGTGGAGGAAAGAGAAGGGGAAGAGGTAATGACATACCGTCAAGCTTCCCAAGGACTCTGTTCACGGCGCCGGAGCAGCCGCCGCAGGACATGCTGACGTTGAACTTGTATGTGTGGTCTGCCATCTTTGCTTCGTCTGCCATCTTTGCTTCTTTTTGTATCTCTCTGTCTGGTCTTCTTGCGGTGTGGGGTTGGTGGGGTATCGAAGTCGCAGAAATTAGGAAATTCGTGAGGTTCGTGAATCGGAATCAGAAATTCGTAAGGTGAATGGGCCCGTCGGGTATTTATGGCAACGCAGTGAGAAATGAGGAAAGGTAGTCAGAATGGGACTTGATGTGTAATATGTAACAGACCTCGATGATTACCGATTTCTAAGCTGGGATGACGAGCGAGTTCAGCCGCGTCGCAGCGAACAGGGGTCGGAGCGGTTTTAGGCTTGGCAGGGCAGCCAGACGTGCATGAAACCTGCTCATCGAGGATCTTAATGGATTCTCTCCGATTTAAAGGCCCTTTTGCTTTTGCTAATCCTGGGGGGGGGGGGGGTTCTTTTGGAGGATGTCTTGAGCAAGTTTCGGGTTGCTAAAGGGGAAGAGGCCTACAGGGGAGCATTTTGAGGAAGAGAGAGTGTCACGTGCGTGACGAAGAGAACCTAGAGAACAGTCGGCTCAGGGCAGATGGATTTTGAAAGTGCAGGGTTGACGATTTTGTTTCATGAGATCTAAAACGGAGTCCTATCAGTGAAGTCGTGCGAGCTACTCGGCATTAACCAACTCGGGCATCTCATCATCAGTCTCCCCCCCCTCGGCATCCTCAGCGTCAATCAAGTCAGGCATGCTATCATCCGTCCGTTCATCATTGTCCCTGCCAAGTTGCGGAGCATTACCACTCCTCCAAAGCATGTTCAGCAGTCTGCTGATCACGCCTGGAGGTATATCTGTATCTCTGTCTTCTTCTCCCTCACTATCTTCATCGTCGTCAGAGAGACCGTCGTGAGCCTCGCTGCCTGAAATATCTTCGAGCACGCGGTTGATGGCACCCTCTTGTTCTTCGCGATTCCCGGCTGCTGGGCGACGGAATCCGGGAATTAGACGAGCGAGTGCTGCAAGGGGGTCGAAGAGATCATCTCCTAGGCCACCGCGTGGACCGTCACGACCTTCAATTGCAGTTCGCTGGGCAGGGTAAGAGAAGATGTTGTGATCTGGTGATAAGGGATCTGCATCTGAGTTGTTGCTTCTATGCAGGAGTTGGGAGGGCACGAGAGACATGAGAGCCGGAGTGTTCTCCAGGTAGATGAAGCGCACTACGTCGAGACTCATCGTATCATTCGAAAGCTTGGGGAATGCTGAATCTGGATCGGCTTTTGGGATCGTGTGGGCGATTTCCATTAGCAATGCGGTTGCTTCAGGCGTACTCCAGAGATCTTTGGTCTGAAGAACATAGAGTTCCGCAATCAGGGCTTCGGCGTCTGTACGAGGCTGTTGACCCCAGATACTTTTTGGTGCATCCAGGTTGAGTTCTTTGAAGAGGCGTACAAACAACCATGGGAAGTTTTTCATAGCCTCGCTCAACAACATCCTGCACAAAGTAGCATCTTGGAGGGACATGGCTGCGTATGCAACTGACACCATCATCGCTACAATTGAGAGTTGTGACCCTGGAGGTTCCAGCTTTATTTTGGGGTAAAAGTCCAACAACCATTGAAAATCGCGAGCTCGAATTGCGAGATGATGAATCATAAGAAGCATCGAATATGGATCAGCTTCCAGGTCTAAACTCAGCAGAAGTTTCGCCCATTCTAATGCCGTTTGATAAGTGCCTTTCATGAGGAGAGATTTGATGTATTGGTAACCAGCAAGCCAAAACTCTCTGTTTTCAGGTCGAGCAAAATCAAGTCGCGCCTTTCCTTGTGACATCTTGTTATTGAATGCCGTGATTGCAGCTCTACCAAAGGTAAACAGGGCCCTTTCAAGAAGATCAGCTGACAATGCATGATCTCCTTGGTCTTTAGCAATTTTGCTAACTTGGATGAGGAGCGAGATGTGGTACGCTAGAAATGTTAGCCATTTATTGTAGTGGGATTTGGGAAACTTACGATTTCTTGTCAAAAGTCCAATCAAGTTTTGAGGATCTCCCATCTCAACATATCCATGAAAAGCGGACTGCAAAGCCTGGTATGTCTTGTCATGGACAAATCTAAACTCGATAGTCCCATCCGGCGCCTTATTATCAACCATTTCCATAGTTAACCCACCAGTTGTCCCCTTCGGCCAGTCATCCTTCCCTTGGATTAAAGGATTCCGGCGTAGTGTCAACTCTGACAATCCTTTTCCTGGTGCGTGATGTCCCTTCAAGGCAGTTTCGAGATCTACCTGGCGTGGTTGTTGCCGTGGCCTCTGCCTTGCCCTCCTTTCTGCACGATCTTCATGGGTTTCCACTGCAGACTTCCCAAACAAACTTCGCATTTCATTTGCAACCTTGAGATGTTGCGTACTGACGCCTAGCAAAGCGCATACTCGTTGATATTCTGGATCGACAGGGACAACTGGGTCTGCTGCAACGCTCTTCGATGTTGGCTTGATATCCAGTTCTCGCAGAGCAGCATCGATATCATCCGCACCAGTTCCGTGGACTTCATCCTCCGCAGGCTTCTCTTTTCTTTTATTCTTTGCCTTCTTCTTCTTTTTAGATTTCTTGGGCTTGTTCGATGTCGAGGTTGGAGCGGGTTGGTGATCGCTCACATCGTCTTGAACGATCTCCTCCTCGGGCTTCTCCTCGCCTTCATCCTCTGCTTCATCTTCTAGATCCGCTAGATTTGCGAAAAGACTTGGTTTCGGTTTCGTTGTGATAACAGGCTCGTCGTCCGATTCTTCCTGTTCCTCAGCCTGAAGCTTTGCTTGCTTTTCCAGCTCTCGCTGCTGCTGGATCTTGCGTAACTGCCGACTCGACATTTTTGCAAGGATCTGTGAAAAAGAAAGAGAACCTCTTGCTCACGGAAAAGTTGCGTGTGTTGTGTCAATGAAGTCCACGAGACGTTTGCCTCTGGATCATTCTCGGCGAATGACGCATTGAAATCGGCAGAATTCCGCATGTGGAGGGCCTCACAATCTTCACGCGAGCATCTTCGAGACAACAGCGTGTAACCTGGGCACACACCTCTCTCGCCCTGCTTCACCCAGGAAAATTCTCACCGCGTGCGAATATGCAATCATAATACAACTCACGCTCCTTTACAACCTCGTCGCTCTTTCCGCGGTCGACTTTCCCTCCTTTAAGGTTACGGCTCGCAACTGCCTAGCGCTCCAAGCCAGCCATCGCCAAAACGTCTCACAAGGGGCTTCAGACTCGCTCTGAGCCTTCCAAGACCACAATCCGATGCGTCGAGCAGCAGTCATTGCCTTCCGGACAGCACGTCTCGCCCCACCGCGCAACCTCGCTGTGCGCGTAAGAAGCGGCTTCCAGTCCTCCAGCTATGTGCTAGGCCTCAGACACGCATCAGGGCAGCCAAAGACGAGTTCCAAAGCAGGCATCTCATCAACTGTAACTCCAACTTCGAAAGGCGCCTCGTCGATGTACATTCGGAGGTTCTCCGTAGCGGTTATCTCTGGCTTAGTTGGTTATGGGGCTTGGTATACATACAAGGGGCAAACTGAGCTTTCAAGCGGAGGAAATCCTTTCTCGGCAGCACAACAGAGAGGATTTGCTAGTTCTCCTGTTCCCGGTCCTAGGGGAGAGGTCGAGAGAAAGGCGGTGATTGTTGGGCCGGATTCGCTGTATACTGGAGCCATTTCGGGAGAGGGGCCGATATCCAAGCAGATAGACGACGCGGGAAGACAAGTGCTTGAAATGTTGACACCGGAACAATCTACGCAAGTTTTACGACGAAACGAAGAATCTTATTTTGTGGGACGGGGAAAGGGAGTTGTGAGGTATGATGTTGTTCAGATACCCAGTAATAATCCAATTGAGGATGATCATTCGGAGAAGATAATCGAGATACCACAAGCATTGGCAACAGCTACGGGAGCAAGGAGTTCAGGCAGTGACTGGATGTTCTGGGGAGTGTTTGATGGCCATTCGTGCGTATCATCGCTCAATTGAAGACTGTCGCTGATCATTAATAGAGGCTGGACAACATCTGCTAAACTACGGCAAGTTCTAATCAGCTTCGTGGCTCGAGAATTAAACAACACATACAAAGCCTCCCTCGCCGACCCATCTCTCTCATCCCCCACAACAGAAGAAATCGAAGCAGCCATCAAGACAGGCTTCACCCGCCTCGACGATGAAATCGTTCACGACAGCGTCGAGAAAGTTCTAAAAGCCAACTCTAAAGTTGCAGCGGCCGAACTCCTCGCCCCAGCCCTGTCAGGCTCCTGTGCCCTCCTCTCTTTCTACGACAGCAACACCAAACTCCTCCGTGTTGCTTGCACTGGCGACTCCCGCGCTGTTCTTGGCCGTCGAGGCGAGTCCGGAAAATGGGTCGCGACACCACTCTCCGTAGACCAAACAGGCAGCAATCCCGATGAAGAAGCACGCATGCGGAAACAGCACCCTGGAGAAGAGAATGTGATCCGCAACGGACGAGTTCTCGGCGGTCTTGAGCCGTCACGAGCCTTTGGAGATGCTACCTACAAATGGACCCGCGAAGTCTCGGAACGGTTAAAGCAATCTTTCTTTGGTCGAACTCCTAGCCAACTACTTCGTACCCCTCCCTACGTAACCGCCGAGCCAGTAGTAACAACGACCAAAATCGAACCTTCTAAAGGAGACTTCGTCGTCATGGCCACCGACGGCCTCTGGGAGATGCTCACCAACGAAGAAGTCGTCGGACTCGTCGGCCAATGGCTAGAAAAGCAATCCTCTGAACAGAACGGCAATTCCGGCAGCTCATGGGCCAAGTTGTTTTCATCACAGCAGAAAGGCCTACCAGTTGAGCACCACCAGCAAGGGGAAAAGAAGAAAGGGAAGGATGGCCAGAAGACCCCGATTAGACAACAGCAGTGGGGTGTCAAGGGCGGGGAGAACGAGAGGTTTGTGGTAGTCGATAAGAATGTTGCGACGCATCTTGCTAGGAATGCGTTGGGGGGACGAGATCAGGATATGGTGTGTGCTTTGCTTACGTTGCCAGCGCCGTATTCGAGGCGGTATAGGTATGTTTTTCCCTTTGTCTTATCCTTCCCCCTGCGCACCTTATGCTGCTCCTTCGTTGTTTCTTTGCAAACAAAAACTGATCATAGATAGGGACGATCTTACAGTAGAAGTCATCTTCTTCGGTGATGGCGAGAAGAGCGGTGATGTGGTGCTGAACAAGGAAGCTAGTGCCTCGGCTGGGGATGCGAAGGCTAAACTTTAGAGCTCTTCTCCATAGACTAAATCTTTCGTGAAGCGCTTACATTGCATTGAATTTTGCTTCTGGACGAGTTTCATCGCGCAGAGGAGTTAGGAAACCAAGTTCTGCCCGATGAACGTATCTTCGAGTAGAATGTTCCTTCGCTGTCCAGTACAATGATCCTAAGCATTTCTCAATTCGAGGATGTGTGTGCTGATATGTGTATATATATTTAGATATATAGTTATGGCATCTTCCACGAGGTGTGAGCACTAAAGTGAGCTAACATCCTGGTCCTTGGCCTCTGATTCTCTCCCGTCTAGTTAACTTTTGCTTTTTGTGGCGCAAGTGTACGTGTATCTTCACATTGTTTGCTTCCTCGATGGTCCTTTCTACTTTCCATTCTATTCTCTTCTCGACAACTTGCATCTCGTGGCTTGAGACATGTTTATTCAGTTGACCTTCCTCCGCATAGCTTTCGAAGTTGCGACGACAGTCACTGTTTCGCAAAATTCACGAGCAGTCATGCCGTTTAAATTATGTCTTAAAGCCAGCGAGGCCTGGAATTACCGAAGTGGTGTTATCAAAAATCGAAGATGAGGTACCGTAGTTGAGAGATGCCATAGTCTCTTTGTGAATTCAATCGAGTGGAGGAAAAGGTCAGATTAGCAAGGAGTGTGGCGAATGCGACAAGTGTGTGACGTTCATAGATGGGTAATAATGCATCCTTGGCATGATGAGAGCAGGGAGGTAGGGAAGTCTGGATGTTAGAAGTTTGAAATTCGGGGGGCAAAGCTGATAGGTCAAATTGCTCGGCTGGCTTGGAGAGCATATGTATCACTGATGTCATCTTGATGTCTCCTGCAATGTCACAAGCTGGGAAGTAGATCGAATACTTGATTCAAGTCGCTTCCGCAGTTATGCCACGACGCCAAGTTGCCCGAGCATCTTATCTCCCCGGTCTAGCAAACGGTATTTCTGACCATCCTCACGGCGTTTCCGCTCCACCGGTTTAGGCTGCTGCCTTCTACATACCAACCTCTTCTTCACACATGTTACGCAAGTGGCTTTACTTGATCGCAACGGAGTTTGTCGTTTTATGGCAAGCACTTCTCAGACTTCGGTTGAGCAGACGGAGCGGGTGTACACAGATATTTCGCACAGTGGGAGTAACGTAGTCCTGTAACTTCTGCTCGGTCACAGTAGCTTCCAGGTCGGTAACACTGCTTGCATTTATCTTCCTTGCCCTGAGGCCCCCTCCACCTCTTCTCCACTGGAGAGTCTACGTGTATGTTATTTTGACTTCCACGTGCCCTTGCCAGAGTCTGCACGTCATTGCAGGGCCTGGCGGAAGTGTGTTGGGCTGCTTGCTGGCTTGATTGCCCAGGGGTCGTTATGTTCTACTCGACTTGCCGAATGAATTCTGACTTGGCAAAGAGTGACGTTTAACTGAAATGCCTTCTTATGTGTTGTCCATGGCGTTCGTCATCTGAGGATCTTCCTGGTCGAAAACTGGCTGAAAACTCTGTTGACTGCCAAGCCCTTGAGCACTTGCTTGATAGTTGACTCTGCACTTAATGATCGAGCACCGTTGGTGCTACGAATCCCTCGCAGCCTTCACTGAATTGAGTCTGCGGAGGGGTTCATTGCTGTTGCTGACCCCTGTTGCCAAGGACCGCAGTCTCCCACTGCTGGGTCGGCATCCCAAACTCTTGAGAAAACCGTAAATGGCAGCATTTGCTTCTGTGTTATACTCCTCAAAAGGTCCCCCGAACTGGAGAGAAAATCGAGAATTGTCCTGATACTGCTAGCCCATGGGATTGCTGGCAGGCACTCCGAATTGCTGTGGATATCGACTACCAAAGTGATTTTTATTCCCTGGGTGGTCTTGTCCCATTGAATGACATTCTTCTTCGAACTGTAGAGGGGGTTGAGCAATCAACTGGCTACCCTGTCTTTAGGCGATCGTGGAGATTTGGCAGTAGTTCCAGTACTTTCGCTCCACCCCCTGTATTTTCCGTTCAATCGTCTCAGCCACGCTTAATCCCAGGTCCAGATCAACCTGACTTTCGACTGTTCTTGACTCGTTCCCACAAACAACCAATCAATGTTTGTGTCCACAACATCCAGAGAGCGACCCTCTTTTGTCTTTCCTGCAAGTCTTGCAACATTCTCCGGCAGTCATGATTTAACACTGACGTCTTGAGCGTTCAACTTCTAAGCTGCCAACAATTCCGTTTCGTATCCGGAATGATCTCTTAATTCAACACTTCTCTCGTAATAGCAACGACTGGCCATGGCTCGAAGCTCTTGAAGATCCGTTGGGAAAAGGTTCTCTCCAAACGTCGTGTTTCTGTTGGATTCTGAGTAGAGTTGTCAGTTTCGCCGGACCAGTGTGGTTGTCTGGCTAGGGGGAAACTGGCCGATCTCTCCCTCGCCGTCGAGCTTCATATATGACATCTTTGACTCCAGAAATTCTTGCGAACCCCTGCTGCTCGTGAGCGACTGTCGTTCTCGTTTAGAAGATCTGGTATAGGCTGGTGCAATGAAGGCGTAATGTGCCGTTAGCTTAGCCTTAAGATTCGCAAGCTCTTTCTCAGGAATATACTTCCAAAATGTGCAGGGAGCCGCATCAGGTTTGCTCAAGCAACCGACTTGACGGTCAAGCTGGGCGACAACTTGTGGAGCCAAATTTCTCCCAGTCTCCAGCGCTCGTTTGAGGCGTGTCTCGATCCAAACGCGAGCAGCGTAATCAGCTGCAATCTTGACACGCCCACTTCCAGCTCATTTCGTTTCGGACCAGGTTCCTCCGTTGAAGATTCCGGCGCCTAATCTGCATATGGCTGCACAACATCATAGTCATTCCGCACTTCCCCAGTTGAATGCTCGTCGTCTTCGTCCATTGTTAGAAGCGAAATTGAACCTGTGGATGACTTTATCTTATTCGGAACGGGAAAACTATTCCGTTCGGTCCATTATCGCACTCTACTTCAAGCGGAATGGTGAATTGTGACAATCATAGTTGTAAAGGTTGCCAGATTTACTGTATTCCCCAGCAAGCCATCGCCCAGATAAACCTTGGAATAATGCTGGTCCTTTCTTTTCCACGGATGTTTAAGAAGCTGTGGCAGAAGAATCTACTGGAATGAAGACTTTGGAAAATCTTACAAAGAACCTCCTTGCTATGTACAGGGTCAAAGAAAGAGGTGATACTTAGGGAAGTAAATCACGGACTGGCAAAGAAGAGAAAGAAACCTTTATTGCAAATATCAAAATACCCCCTCAATCTGTAAAGGTCAAAGTGATCTCGTGTCGTTAACACAAATCGCTCCTCCTAATCCGAGACCACAACGCATCATTAATCTTGTTGGAACTGAGTGTACGCTGGTACACTGTAGTTTATATACTGGGTGTATATATAGAGTGCTTACCCCGCGTGAGCTGAGAAATCAAGTCGTCAACCTCCAAAACATTGCAACAAATCTCCAGACGCCCCAGTTTCGGAGAACTCTCGATGCTAAACCTCCTATCCAGAACATTCAGTATTGTTGCTGCGAGAGAGCATCGGGTGCATCTCGTCTTGTGGTGTATTGTTGCATCATTGCCATACCCGGAAAGTCCTTGTAATCCAATGCATGTCGACGTGCGAGGGGCCGACTCGTCATCTCCTGGATCGCGTAGTACTGATTCTCGAGGTCCAGAATCGTCCCGCCTACAGACCGACCAGCGCTGATGGTATTCGCAGCATCCTCCTTCACAAAAAGCCCATCATGTAGCCACAGGAAAGCCCAATCCTTATTCGTGTCATCAGTGGACAGTGAGCGCCCCTCCCGTGTTCGATTTGTGACTATTGCAACGGATTCCGAGAGCCAATGATCAGTACTGATCTCAAGCACACTAAGTGCCTGGAGTTCCTGTATCTCTGCCTCTTCGCTCAATGCTTGAGTTATCTCGGAACTGCCGCGGTAAAAGCATCTTCCTGGCCGACTTCGAAACTCTTGGATCTCCTGGTTACCGTAACCATAAGTCGTAGTTGCTAAGTGAACAGCCTCTCTCCGAACATCGTAGTTTCTCTGAATCGCAAGCAAGGCTGCCGGTCTCGTTATGTCGATGTAGTAGTGAGGTCGCTCGATGACTGAAACCCCGGCTTCATTTCTGCGTCGCTGGTACTCCAAGGCTATGTCAAACCCCTTCGCCATCAGGTTCTAGCTTTGGATTAGTACCATTAGACGGAAGTTGGAGAAATTATCGGACGGAAAGCAGAACATTCGTGCAACCTACTTTCATCTCCGCTTGCAATTCCCTCATCTGCTTCAAATGCAGAGTCATCCAGCCCTCCGGATGAAGCTCAGTTCTTTGCTGTGCACTCAGTTGGTCCATTAGAAACTGTTGCAATTGCTGATAGATTTGGGCAGCGAGTACTGGGTATCCTTCCATTCTGCGTTTGCAGAGTGCTTCATCCCAGACGTGATCAGCATGGCGGTGTGCAACCTCGTAATCTGTAAGGTTGACAAGTCCAAGAACTCCGCTTGGGTCTGCCATAGTTGTAGCAGGCTGACGCTTGTTGATGAGAAAATCAAACGAAATTCTGGGTTTGTGGTTCTTCCTATGCCTGGAAGGACAATCTGATGAAACTTCTAGCTACGAGAAGTTGCTGGCATTGCATGGTGAAGAGGCGGAAGAACCAAATGGGGGCTGGTGAATTCAAGACAAAACCTCTTTGGAAACACCTCCATTAACCAAATCTTGTTACGTCTGGAAGGATTTGCTATTTCATCACCGTGTAACGTAATCTTGAGACAAAAACTGTGTAAGGCTTCCAGCTCTAACCATAAAAATATTATGTCAATCTCTATATGCTGTCGAAGTCTCGCGTGCAAATGTCAAAGGAATAGCCAAAGACTCTGGTTCGACGATCCCCGAGAAGATTCTGCAGCCAGTTCGCCAAGTTGCTCTCCGCAAGATCTGAAATATGGCACAAGAAAGCCAATGCCTCTCAGCAATTAGTTTACATTTATTACTAGACTGATCAAATTGTTAGGACACGCCAAAGACAACCAACCAGACCCTCGAAGTAATGAAGTAGCGCATCCGCGTCCTTCACTTGTTGTCCACGACTTCTGAAATTATTGACCCAGCATATATCCACATTTGCGGCACAAAAACCTCCATGCAACCCCTTTTATTCAGTACAGTCATCGTCGCTACTATCCTTTTCCTCGCCTCCACTTTCTTCTGAAAGCGTCCTTCTGAACACAAGTCTGCGTGGCTGTCCATTCATAGCATAGTTTTCATAAAACTGTACCTTCTCGACCTTCTTCTTGAACTTGATGCTCATCAAGACCACTTCCGGAAGCCAGTAGCCCATTTCCCTCTGCTCCCTTTCCCAATTCTGATCATCCAGAGGCCTGCCGTTTCGCCGAACACGAGCCAAGCGAGCAGTATTCTCTGATAACCACTCTTTGTCCTGATACGCGCACTGGTATTCTTCGGGACTATTTCCGCAGTTTCTTTGCAGGTAATCGGTGATAGCACGACACTCTGATTCCACATCGACACCAGGCTCTTTGCGAGGAAGGTCGCTCCTAAGATAATACCGTCCATAGATAGTCGATTTCCACTGCTCAAAGTCTGCTCGCTTGACGCCATTGTTGCATATGATTCTCGCTTCCCTTTCCACAGAAAACTGCCTCTGAATCTGGAGACGCCACTCTGGCTCGGTAGGGTCGATGACGAATGTGGGAACGAGGCGGCCCTTCTTCCTTTTCGTGCGATAGCTTGCGTACGCCTTTGCAACCTGGGTGTGGCTTTGCTCTAAGGCCTGTTGAGGTCAGTCCTAAAGAGCTTATGGTAAAGAAGAAGAAAAGACTGCCAGGGAAACGGAGAAAAACTTACCGACAGCTGTGCATCCCATCCAGCTTCCTCTACGGCATAGCTCTTTTTCCACGACGTGTATTCAGCAATATCTTGCGGTGTTATCTCGTAACCCCCATCTTCGATCATGTAGTCCATTTCGTAGATCACTCTCTGGGCGGAACGTCCTAGTATCTCTTTCCTTTGCTTCAATAATGTCTCCAGCCAGACGTGATCAGCATATTCCCAGGCACTTTGAGCAGCAAGACTTGCTGAGGAGAGCTGGCCGAAATCGCGCGGAGTATCGGACATTTTTGCGATTTTGACAAAGTTTGCTGCGTGTATGACTGCGTGTGTGTATGTTTTTACGAGCTCGAGCACCCTCCTCGTTGCCTCGAATCGATTCGTTGGCTGAGTGGCTCCGCTCAGAGAGTAGTCGCGGTATTGGAAAAAGCTGACTGGACGGCGACCGAATATGTTGGTTATGGAAGTCTCTTTACTACCTCGGTGAGACTGGATAAGTAGACAAAATTGGTTATAGGACAATCCCTTTGTGCTTCGAGATCGTTCCGGTGTCAGGCAAAGGAGCAAAACCAAAGATTGAGGTTGAAAGACGCGCCTTCACCAAGACGAAACTCTCGGAGCAAGTAAACTCAGCCCACCGACTGATTGCAAGATTCAGGGAACTCCGAGAAATCCCAACTGCGAGCGCGCCTTGCATTTGGATGGGAGAATTTTCCCCAAAGCGACTTTTGGTGCAGGTGCTCGTGTTATTTTCGGCAGTCTAAATCCCGACCTTTGGCTGCGTCTCCGATACTCGTCAAATAATCCCGGGTTCGTGAACGGCAAAGACAAATCGCTATTGGGATCTTTCTCAAGGGTGATATAGCAAGATCGGCAACAGATTCTAAGGACCTAGATAACCTGTGTTGCTTCTACTCTTGGAAGTGTTTACCTTTCGGCCATACTCTAAACGTGCCATTGTGAACTGAAGATGCAATACTAAAATGAAGCACACAACTGTGAATTACAGAATTTTATCTGTAAGATACACTCTTCTCTTCTTCTATGTAACTAACCTAGATTGAACCACCAATACTGATTCCTTTTCAATGTTCCTCATTAAATTTGCATGAGACAATCGGCGTCTCTTCTGTTGCAGATGTAGCTCCCTTTTCCTACCGGTTCCAGAAGGGAAACAGAATGCACAATGGCATGGCCTGTACATCTAACGTAGATGTCATTCTCTAACCGCAAAGTTGCTTTATGAACCATCGTCTTTCACTCATTTGGAAAATCTGGCATGGAATGATTGGGCTGGATAGCTGTTTTTTTGATAAGATAGTGCATTAAGGAGCTGTGTTGTGTGCATATAGAGATGCACTACGAATTGAGTTTCTCCTATTATTGTATCTCCCATCGCCTCATTTTTGATCCCCCTTCGTGACTTTTATTTTCGTTTCTTCTCTGAGCAGATTCAGGGGTAAGTGGCCCGTCCGCACAAGCGACCCCAGCCCCGAAGAAACGCCGTGAACCGACCCCCTTTCCTTCCCCTGTGCTCACTCCTTGGGTCTTTCCCTTGCAGTCGACCCAATAAACAAAAGCATTGCCCTTCTCAGCTCCTCACTTAATCTTCAATATAATGGCGCATCGACTTGACTGCTAGGCTATTGTGATTATATGCATGCAGAGCAATGCTGTGGCTGCTTCCTTGCTGATCTGTCGACTTCCCCCAAATCAAAGGTATCGTCTTTTGGGGTTCACCCTCGGTATGAGAGGTAGAAGGAGACCACCAATGATCTCAATTTCTGTGCAGAAACAGGAGGAACCTTCAAAGGGGCAGCTTGAAGGATTCATGGCACTTGTAAAGCAGAAGAAACTGCCGACAAAGGAGATGCTGCAACTGCTTGTGAAGAAGTTTGTTGCTCTCCAGAATTAACAAAGAATCGACATCAATATTACTTTCTTGGTAGGGAGATACTGGGTGGAGATTCTTAATAGCATGCCTTGTTCCCACTTAATGACATATATTAACAGTTCACTCGGAGTTTGGCTAAAATACTCCGATATCTGACTACCGAACTCTATGCATCTCCTCCCCAGCAGCCAAGTGTTCAACCCAATGAGTCAATGGTCTACTTGGCAGAGAGCTACTCCCCATATCGCATTGCATTCCTCTATCACAGACTACTCTGTGCCTATTTCCCGTCGCCTTGGTGTGAGCCTTTGCTCCCAGAGCCGTACATTTATCCAGGACCCTTACTTCCTGGGCCTTCTTCCCCGGACTCGTCCTTGACATCCTCATACTCCAGTTTGTTCGGATTTCTGTATCGACGAGAGGGCAGGATTTCATGCGAGTCCTGAAAGCTGCTAAATGTTGCCTTGCATTTCGAATCAGCAAGCCGAGACCCAGGAGAATGACGCGAGAGTTCGGCAGAGCAGCCTTCCAGACCAATTGTTGGAGCTCAGCGGGAAGTTCAAGAAACTTTGGGAATGTGATAGCTTGCGGTGGCGGACCGGTTGAACAGTCGCTCTGGTTTCCAGCCCGGTGAAGGATCGAATTTCGCGCAAAATTCGAAGGGGAGGGGTGCGGTGGGAAACCGAGCTAGCAACGAGCTCGCCAGTAAGTGATTTGCACAGGTCAATTACACGCCCGTATCTCTTCTACTCACGATGAGCAATGGTGAGGGTCGTCATAGAGAGCCCGAAGGAGCTTCGACTCAACAGCAGCTCCCTGCGGAAGCAAAAGAAGACTGAGGAGAGGCTCATGTAGTTTGGTTGTCCAAAAATTCTGGAACCAGGAATGAGAAAGCCACTTGGGAAGGTGCTGGAAGATTGCATTGGAGAAGATAAGAACTGGAATCTCGGAATTATATTGAGATGATGTTGGTTGGTTTGATCTTCGGATTTCCTCGGATTGACTTTTCCCCGGAGTTAAGGCTACTGACCACCCCCTCAATCACGTGTATAGACCATCCCACCTTCCAAGTTGTTGACTTGGAATTTTCGAATCGATCTTGAAATTTAGGCAGTATATTTTCCCACTTATCTTTATATTGTCTTTGGGTTCATGTTTTGTAGCCAAGGACGAGTTTACTGCGGACTGAAGCGATGATTTCGATTGAGCGTGTAGATGTTGATCAAGTAAATTACGCTCCTCAACCCTCTTCCCCACAATAACAGATTAAATTGGTTGATGTAGAAATAAAAAAGGTGAAGTCCAACAACATGACAGATTCAACCCCTCAAAAGGCATAACCTCCACTTGCCAACTGTCTTGGCTCTGCAGCTGCCTCAAAGGTACCATTACTCAATCTTCTGATTGCTTGTCCCGCGGAACTAAAACCAACAAAGGTAATATTTGCTCCAATGCTCTTCATAAAGGCAGTCGTCTGGTTATTGTATCCCACAAGGCCATGTGCTGGATCTGCCCACTCAAACTCTACTTGCGGAGGGTAAAGTTGATCATGCATTCGGGGCGAAGCAAGCGCTTCTGCAGATGTCAGATTCTGGTCAAGAATGTGCCAAAGATGTTGGCTAATCTCGGTGGTAATGCGGCTCCCTCCTGCGCAGGCATGAACGATGTACACAGTGCCGTTTGGGAATTCCACGATTACGGGTGCAATCGAGGATAGAGGGCGCTTGAGAGGAGCGATGTAGTTTGAAGGGCTGTCTCTTACACCAAACGCATTCGAGGTATTGAAAATAGAGAAATCTATCATACGTGTTAGAGTGTATTGATGATTTGGAGACTTATTTCGCCTCACCGTTCATCTGGTTATTCAGGATGACTCCAGTCTCGGGTACCATCATTGTGTTTCCGAAGTAAAAGTTGACCGTACTTGTCAATGCAATAGTGAGACCACTCTTGTCCGCGGAAACCACGGCGGTTGTTCCATGATCAGGTACATCAAATAGTTGCCCTGGTGGTTCATAATCCATGGTCTGGAGTACACCGTAGTCCTCGATCTTGGATCTACACTCCTCTGCGGTATTCTCAGAGTACATTTCCAGCTGGTAAGCCGTAAGATTCGGAAGGAAAGTTGGGTCTCCAAGTAAAGTGCGTTGACCATACCCAAACTTCATTGCCTCATCAAGATAATGAGTAGAGAGATTGAGTGCGGAAGGCGTTCTCATATCATAGCCTTCGACGATTTTCAGGATGCTGCAGAGGACTGCTCCACTTGATGGCGCACTTCCGCTGAAGACCTTGAAACCCCGGTAGGTGATATTGGAGATTGGGCGATTCAAGATTGTATAATTTTTGAGGTCTGAGAGTGTCATCGTACCGTTTGCTCGTTGTAATGCGATGATTGTTGCATTCGCAATTGCTCCGGTGTAGAACACATCAGGACCGTATTCCGCAATGCTTTCGAGTGTGTCAGCAAAGCGTTTCCTTGTCATTACATCTCCTAGCCCCACTCTCGTCCCATTCGGAGCGAAATCAATGGCCCACTCCGGATCATAGGTGAGAAAGTCATAATCATAGCCGAGGTATGCGTATCTTCCATCAGTAGACGCTATCATAGCAGAGTCGAGGGCTTCCGTGACCTTGAAACCTTCGCGAGCAAGTTTGATCGAGGGCTTGAAGAGATCTTTCCATGGCTTCTGGCCATATTTTTCATGCATTATTTTCAACCCGCGAAGCTCACCTGGGACAGCCGCCGCTACAGCAAATTAGCAATGCAAATGTAGGAATATCGCCAAATATCCGAAAACCTGGGCATTCCTACTGGAGAAAGCAAACAGACGGAGGAGTCACCACTGTTTCCTCAAAATAGTCCTTGTCTCTCGCACCGTAACATATATGATGATCTCAGAATGAGAACAAGCCTCACCTAATCCTCCCCGGAGAGAGAGTTTTATAGTTTCCTCAGTAAACATTTTCTCGTACGCTGCTGCCGGAGCTGTTTCTCTGAAGTCGATGAATTCATAGGCTCCTTCCTTTGATCGAACCAGCACGAAACCTCCACCTCCAATCCCAGAGTCATACATATCTACAGTACCAATGCAGATTTGAGTGGCTACCATCTGGTTTTCCATTAGTACAGGCGAGATGAGAGAGAATTGAACTTACGGCGTCCGCAGCATTGCCGCCTTCCTTCATTGTATCGATCCCAATTTGAGTGCATAGTGCACTCTCACAAGCAACAGCGCCATTTGTGTTGTTCGCCCACACATATCCCACACCGAGAACAAGAAGGAGTACTTTACAAAATCTTAACATGATCGGCGACTGGATAACAATCGAGAGGCATGAAATGAGAGAGGGAGGGAGGGAGGAAGGCTCTTGAGGGTTTTTAAGAAGGCTCGCTCGGAGCTTTGTTGTTGGATTTTCTACTCGCTCTTGAGGATTGTGATACACTAAGGCACTCAATTGCATGTAGCGGGCCGACACCTTTCGGCCATACTTGAATCATAGTTCAGGGCCACAGGTAACGCAACAGAAGATCATCGAAAAGATTGAAAGAGCTGAAGTCCTCGGCACTCGCCTGACTCGACAGTAAACGGCACTAGTGTATTTGATAAAAGTAACGCAGAGCATGCCGTGAGACTTCCCGCTGGGGCGGACCGACCCACAATGGGAACTTTGTACATCCGGTGGGGCGCTGCATATACCTAGCCGGATGAATTCCACCTCTCCTCTCCTCCTCTATTCTTAACCTAAGGAAGTGGGCAAAGGCGGCTATCGAGTCCCGAGGAGAATGACTCTGCTGTACTCTGCGGTCAATGAAATGAACTCATTCCACGGAAGTAACACAGGAGCTAGGGTCGAAGCAACGTTACTGTGACCAGCCGGTCTTTGATTAATGTGCGCCCAGGGGGCCGTTCAGGTGTACCTTCGTAAGACTCACTGGCCAGTGTTTTCGGACGTTGAAGATTGCTGATACACAAGCACGGCGAATTCTCTTAGTGCAGAGATATTTCTTCCTCTGTGAAGCAGGCGGGGAATATGCGATAGGGCCATCCGAGGGCGCGAAAGTGGGTTGAGAAAAGCCGCTTACTACTTCTGCCTAGGGGGTGGGGAGGGTGATATTTTCCAAAGTTAACGGGCATTGGACCGGAATTGGTCATATAAACTTGAGATAATCGAATGAAATTCTGTAAAGCAAAGCTAAAAAAGAGCAAAAACTTTTCGTGTCCGTGAGGAGAGGGATGAGAGGTGTTGTCCTACGCCAGGACCTTCAGCAACTTATCAGCGGCGTGCTTCCCCAGGGCGTCCAGAGTCCCCATCTGCAACATTTCCAATACCGTGATATCAAATTCAAAGGTCTGTCTCCACCAAGCTCGCACCTCGATCGCGACCAGAGAGTCCATGCCCAAATCGGAAAGAGAGAGCTGGGTGTTCAATTCTTCCTCTGGCTTTAAGAGGAAACCGAACAACTTCTTCCCGATTTCAGTGGCAAGGAAGCTGCTGGTTTCAGGTGAGGATATGATTGAAGGATCGGTCTTCGCAGCCATCATGAACGACTTGAGTTTGTCACTGGATGCCGTTACTTCGACGTTGGTACCGGCGTCGTTGTGGTAGGCAGCCATTCGCAAGTCCTTCCAGATTGTGGCATTGTTATCAGCGTTAATTGGAACGGTTGAGCCCAGACCAAGCACGAAACTGCGATGATTGACAAAGTTGGGGTATGACTGATTTCCCTCCTGCTTCCCAACTGTGATTGCGAGTGCCAATGCATCAAGAAGGCTTTGCTCTGAAATCCGGTGTAAACCCATGGCGGTGATTTTCCGGAGAGTCTCTTCGTTCTCGGCCACAAATCCAATTTCGTGTACGCTGCCAAGGTTGATTGCAGAGACTGGAAGTCCGAGGCGTGTCCGATAATCAACGAAGGCATCTAGAAACGTGTTTGCACTAGAGTAATTGGCTTGGCCGGGCTGTCCGATGATCCCGGAGAGCGAGCTGAAAAGCACAAAGAAGTCGACACTTGCTCCAATGGATGCGAGCTCGTCGTGGAGATTCCAAGTCCCTTGAATCTTTGGCCAAGTGGCTCCATTCCATTCACCAAGCGTCATTCTAGAGAAGGCTTGGTCGCGAAGAACCATTGACATCTGAAATACACCCTTTACTGGAGCCGTGGCGATGGCCGCTGCGACCGTTTTCTTGACATCTGCGGGATCGCTCACGCTTCCTCGAACCATCTGCACCGTGCAACCCATGCTTTCGAGCTCGTGGACCAACTCCCCGTGTATTGGACGCGTTCCTGCACTTGGGGAGAGGAAGACCAGATGGCAGGCACCGCGTTCGGCCAACCAGATTGCGATTGCGCGGCCAAGGCCTCCGAGTCCACCAATAAGAAGATAAGACGCCGAATTATCGAAATCCACATGCGTTGTGCTGTGTGCGGCCTCAGTCCCTTGCAGAGTACCTTGAAAGGGCTGAGGAAACTCGACGATAACCTTCCCGATATGGGTTCCGGGTTGCATGAATGTGAAAGCATCTTGTATCGCGTTTGGTCCAAAGAGGTGAACTGGGGATATGGGTTTGATCTTTCTTTGAGAGAAAAGTTCAATTATGGAGGCCAACAATCTGAAGATTGTCAGAGAGACCAGTTGGACATTTGGGGATTTGAGCGCTCACCTATTGATGACCCAAGGCTTTTGAGCAACAATTTGATCAAGATCAACGCAGCAGTAGCTGCGGTTAGCAATAAAAACGTCCATGTCGAGCTTTCCAGCACCAAGGATGTCTCGTTTTCCAATTTCGACCATCGTGCCAAACTCGGCGATGCAGCGCCAGGTTTCATGGAGCAGCTCACCAGAGAGCGAATTGAGGGCCAAGTCAACACCGCGCCCTTTAGTTTCCCGCATAATTCCGTCAACAAATGAGGTGTTTCTTGAACTGAAGATCCGGTTTCTGGGCACATTCATCTTGTCCATAAGGAAGGTTACCTTTTCTTCCGTGCTGACGGTCACGAATATCTCAGCTTCCAGCATCTGTGCAAGCTGTATTGCGGCGAGACCAACCCCGCCACAACCGCTGTGGATGAGAATAGACTATACGTTGTAAGCAATGAGAGGATGATGCATGAGAATATCAACTCACCTGTCGTTTTTCGAGTCGTCCAACTGTCATCACCGCTTGCATCGCGGTCCCATATACAACTGGCATGGTCGCGGCCTCAACAAAAGTCATTTCTTCGGGTATCTTAGAACAGAGAACCTCCGATACCACGATTGAGGTTGCGAAAGTTGAACGACCAGCCAACATGACACGGTCCCCAACGCACAACTCCTTGACTGCAGGTCCGACAGCACGGACTACACCACTCGCTTCATGGCCCAGTGAAGGTTTTGAGAGCTTGACAACGCCCATTCTAGTCAATACATCCTATACATTGTCAGGAGCGCCAATAATAAAGTGAATGAGTCCTTGGCTTACTACGAAGTTCAAGCCAACTGCATGTGTAACCACTTCGACATCATCCCCGCATAATCTCGAAGCAGGCTTTGGTGACCACTGAAGGGTGCCAAGCCTCCCAGTTCTGGTCAGAGTAAGCATGAGCTCGTTGCTTGCATCCGAGGTCAACAAGGCATTGGAAAGTGAGAATGGATAAAATCGACCAACGTGGACAGTTCCGTTGCAGATGGCGAACTCATAATCCGGGCCCAATATATCTTCCGTTCTTTGACTTTGAAACCTGGAGAAAACATCTGCTATTAGCCCGGAATCTGAGCCAATGTCGGTTGTCTCGCAGGTAGCGAAGTCAAGCAGCATCTCAGACCGGATCGTCCGCGCGACACCAATAGCTTGAGCGTATCTTGGATCCCGGCAGTGCATGTGGCAGGGTCGGGTAAGCCACATAATTTTGGAGTCTCCCAGAGAGCCAACCACGTCCTTGAACTGCTCCAAGGTAGTTTCGTCAACCTTTGCGAAAAAGGGCTCGGCTTCATCGAGAGCAGCAATAACATCTTGCTGAACAGGAAGACGATCCCCAAGGTTAAACCTTGACACTGCGAAGCCTTTGGAATCCAACTGTTCCATTAGCAGGCGAGGATCACTATCCTGGTCTCTGCACAGAAGCGTCAATCTCTTCGCTGGCGTGTAAGCTCTCTCAGGTGATGCGATCATAATTGCGTTCATCTGGAATGGCTTCTCGGCGTCGAATATCACTGCATCCAGTGGTCTGAAACCTACTGAAATGAGCTCTGAATTCCACCTTTCGGGTGTGACGTATGGTTCGTCAACTCTCCCGTCCAAAACACCATCCCACCACCCAGGAAATGGGCCCCAGACGTAATCAACCCATTTCGATATTGAGCATAATTCATGGAGCAGAAGTCGGCCGTCATCGGCGAGGAGCGTGCGGACGTTGGCCAAAGTTTCTCGAAGAGTTGGGGTTGCATGTAAAACATTTGTTGCAATAATGAGGTCGAATTTTTGGTGATCAAAACCTTGTTCCGCTGGATCACGGCTGATGTCCAAAGTAAGGAAGTCGACATTTGGAATTCCCATCAAAGTCTCTTTAGCAGTAGCAAGAAATGCAGGCGAAATATCCGTAAATGCGTATCGCGAGTATAAGGGCTTCCCGTTAGGGAGAGCTAGATGAGCTAAAATCGTTTTGCTGGTCGCGCCTGTGCCAGCCCCTATCTCGAGAATTCTCAGGTTCGGCTTGCTATGGGTTAAGTGCTTCAAGAATAGTGACCTGTCACAAGCCTCCGACAGGAAATACATCTTGCTCAGTAGGTCATCCTCCCGAAGGATTTCCATGGCATTGGCTTCACCCGTGAATATCTGTGCCACGGAAGTGCATATTCTGCGCATTGCTAAAGCCGCACATGCAGCAGGAGTTTGACTGAGTTCACCAACAATTTGGTCAATCCGCAGATCAATGGAAGCATCATCGAGCTCTGACTTGACACATTGGCGATCGATCCATGCCGAAAACATCTTCATGTGAGGCAGACTTGATTCCAGCCCGGCGAGGCTTCTTTGTGAGCGGAGAAGGCAGAGCTGAGTCAATTCGTTCAGAGCTGGTGTGAAGGTTGATCGATCTAGTGTTGGTTTGATCAAGCCTTGCAGATCCATGAAGTCGATATGGGGGGCCCAGGTGTGTCTCGCTGCTGCATGACTGTCCCTGGTATCGGGGTTGTTGACATCCTCTAGCGGTGAAAGACAGACGCCTGACATATGTACGACTACAGTATCGTCTACCACACACATTGCCTTCCCAATAATGCCACCGCCTGCGGTAGAGGCTGCGGAGACTGAAACATTGACATCGCGCGAGCACCGATGTATGTTCATTGACTCGACAACGGTTGGAAGCATCATCCGATACTTACGAGAAAGGCTGTAAGTTTCTGCGCAGCATAGCAGTTGTAAAGCAGAATCGATGACAGTTGGATGAACGTGGTAGTTATCCTCGTCGCCTTGCCGGTTGTTGAGGACTCTTGCTGTCGCCATTGCTTCGCAGGTAGTTGCAGTCCTGATATCATTCAGTGACTGGAAATGCGGCCCGAAGTGCAGCCCCAATTTACTCATTGCACTGTACCATTTCTGTGAAGCAAGCTTACGAGGGAGAGTGGGCCGGATCCCAGGCAGCTCCTGGATTTTGGACAGCATTGCCACTTCCCCATTGCAATGTCTTGTCCACGAGTGTCCATTGTGCGAGGTCACTGCGAACTCCCACCAGTCCCCTTCCAAAGAAGTTGTTAAACGCTGTCGGCGAAACGTGGTTATCAGCTCTGTAGGCTCTCCTTCATGAAGAACAAGCGCTGTTTTAACGTGAACACGGCGAAGTCGGAAACCATCCTCAGCGCCGACAGTCTGTCGAATCGCCTCCCCAATCAGTCCTACGTACCCTGTAAATGGAAAGATAATATCATCATTGATAACATGGTCACGAAGCCAGGGAGCATTGTCCAAGTGAAGAATGTTTCTCCATACCGGCTCAAACTCGGTGCTTTCTGTAAGCTTAACTCCGAGGAGGTCGTGATAAGCGTACTGACGATGACGCCATTCGCGAACTGCCCGTGGTTCATGCCAGAAGCTATTGGGGTGGTGCCATGGATATGGTGGAAGATTGGGCAGGCAGCGGCCGGCGGGGGCCAGCGCCAGAAGGTTCATTGAGACATTCATCGTCCAGAGTCTTCCAATTGCTGAAAGGAAAGACTCAACACAATTCTGCTGACGCAGCATAAGCGATGCGTACGGTGCCGCACTCGAGTTTTGTGCAAGTATCTGCCTCAACGGCCCACCAAGAGCCGAGTGCGGGCCAACCTCTAGGAAAATCGCATTTTGTCCAAGGGGGTGTCGCAAAAGACAGGTGACTGCAGAATTGAACAATACTGGAGATTCGAGATTCTGCTGCCAGTATTTTAGATGAAGCGTTTCCCCTTCGTTGAAAAGCTTTCCAGTGACAGAAGAGAAGAAAGGCTTCTGCAGCCGCCGTGGCAAGACAAGCCCCTCGAGTAAATGAAGATAGCTTTCTCCAACTTCGGCCATATGGGGAGAATGATAAGCCTTATCGACGTTCAAAACTTTCGTGAGCACGTTTTGCTGCGTGGCCCGAATATTTTCAACCACGAACTTAACTTGGTCCGCATCTCCTGATATTGTGACGCTTGATGGGGAGTTTTCGCAGGCAATGTTGACATTGGGAAGTAAATAACTCAAAGTGTCCTTCCAACCCATCCCGATGGCAGCCATTGCACCCTTTTTTGTCTGGCTCTTGATTGCAAACCCACGGTTCAAGGAGACCATGATTGCCTCATTGGCTGTGAGAGCACCTGCGGCATAAGCTGCTGCCACCTCACCGCCAGAATGGCCGACAACAGCTGTTGGTCTGATTCCGAATGAAGCCAAAGTTTCGACTAGAGCTATTTGAATGGCTGTAAGGGTCGGTTGGGCAATTTCTGCCTCACATAGCCTACTCGATTTGGGAGATTTGCATAGCTCTGCTTCCAAGCTCCATTGTGGAGCAGAATCCTCGAGGTTGCCTAGGAACTGATCCATGGATCTGATGCTGTCTCTGAAAGTAGCATTCCACTGCAACAGGTCACGACCCATCTGCGGCCATTGGGCGCCCTGGCCAGTAAATGCCATCACCAAGTTAACAGTAGTAGAGCCAATTTTTGTTGGAGGAGACGTTGTTGCTGCCCCATCACTGCTAACGATCATGAAAGTGCGGTGTGGCATGTGCTCCCGCCCGTTCGCTAGGGTATACGCAAGATCTACTGTCTTTTCTGGGTTCGAATGCACGTAAGAGTTGTAGGTTTCCATTATTTGCGTCAAGGATTCGAGAGAATTTGCCGAATAGAGGAGCAAGTGAGGCTTGGTAATTCTCTTGTCTAGGCACTTCTCTTGGGGAGGCTTTGGGAACATGACGCTAGATGCAGAATCAATGATTACGTGCGCGTTCGAGCCTCCAAAACCAAATGAATTGATGCTGGCTCTCTCAACGCATGCTTTGGGCCAAGTGACTGGTTCTACAGGAACCACAAGTCTTCCAGATTCAAACGGAATTTTTGGGTTGGGTTTCGAGAATTTGATGTTGGGTGGGATAGTACGGTTCTCGAGAGCGAGGACGCACTTTATCAAGGATGCCAGACCAGACGCTCCCTCTGAGTGGCCTAGATTTGGTTTGATAGATCCGATGTAAATGCCAGACTCTCCGAAGACTCGAGCTACGGCGGCGGCCTCAATAGGATCACCGGCCGGGGTTCCAGTGCCGTGACATTCAATGAATGCTGTTTGCGCAAGGTCCGTAATGCCGGCGTGGCTATAAGTCCTCCTCATCAAAGCCTCTTGAGAATCAGAACTTGGATTTGTCATGCCGGGCGTCTTTCCATCACAGTTAGTTGCTATTCCTCGAATAATTGCCCTGACTGGATTGCCGTCCTAACAATCACCGCGTCAGCATAACTCGACTAGGAATTTCGATATCAGAAAAAGGTCAAAACTTTAGTTGAGTGAAAACTTTGTTTGTGCGACATCTCAAGTCCATTTAAAAGAAAGTCGCAAGGATAGGCATACCCGTAATGCAGCCTTCAGGGTCTTAATGTAGACAGCAACAATTCCTTCAGCTCGCGCATACCCGTCAGCATCAGCTGAGAAGGTTTTGCATGAGGCGTTGGGAGAAAGTATGCCTTGCTCAGACGCCGTGGCTGTGAGGCCCGGGGCCAAGATAAGGTTGGTGCCACCAACAATGGCAGCATTGCAGTCGCCCTTCGAAATAGCTGCGCATGCCTCGTTCAGACAGACAAGTGACGCTGAGCATCCTGTCCGGATAGTCAAACTATACAAATCAGCTGGTGCGCACGTGAGACATTGCTGAGTTCAGCATACCTGGGGCCTCGAAGGTCCATTTCATAGGACACGCGGTTTGAGAGTGCCATGTCGCTGGTACCCGTGAGGCGGTATCCGCCATACTACCCGACTTAGCAAAATGACGAGAAAACTTATGAGAAGGGAAGATATACCTGTTGAGAGTCCTTCGCAAACATCTCGCACCAGTCCTCACCAAAGTTTCCTGCGTAAACACCAGTGTTGCTTCCTCTCCAGTTGAGCTCGCAGGCATCGTCGATACATTCTCGCGCTACCTCAAGTAACTGCCGCTGTTGTGGGTCAGTCCGCTCGAGCTCTGTTTTTGAGATGCTGAAGAAGGATGTGTCCAGACTCTCAAGCTTTACGTTTTCATCGAGGAAATAGCCGTACTCCGAATTGATGGTTCCCGGCTTGCCATTTGCCGAGTAGTGCGAGGACGACTTGTAGCGACTGTCAGGAACACCTGCACGAGCATCGCGTTTGGCAAGCAAGAAGTCCCATAACTGCTGTGGACAGTGGATGCCTCCTGGGAGGCGACATGCCATTCCACAAATTGCAATGGGTTCAAACGTCGTCGGGCTGTTGTTGATAAGAGGTGTTGGTGGTGTAATATTACCGCTCTGGTGGCCACTGACATTGCCGCTGGTGTTGTTGCTAACGTTGTGGGAGCTGACAGGATTGACGAGGCTTCCGGGCGTCGCCTGGGCCACCCCATTAAGACCCATTCGGTGACATGGACCGCCATCGAGCGGTGGCATTGCGGAGATCTCGAACTGAGATTCGAGAAATTAGTCCAGAAATTTTACTAAGTGTAGAGTCAGTGGTGAAAACATAACTAATTTGAAGTTGATGCGTGAATATCTGTTATAAAAAGTCTCAAAAATCACGTGTGGACAAGAGCCAGGCTGGGAAAGAAGCGTAATCCTTACACATTCACGTGAAAGACCCAGCATTAACCTTCTCAACGGTGTAGAGTTGGAGCAAAAGAATCACGACTTCTTGCAGAACCGTACAGCATTCTCGTCGAGCATATGAGCACCATTGCTGGTCCCAGCATGGCTATCCAATAGAAAATAAAAAACTGGGTCAGAATAATCATACCATCCAATAGAAGCTTCGGCACCAACTGTGGAAAGGGAGTAGAAATGGAACACAGAAATCACAACTTCTTGCAGACACGTACAGCATTCTCGCTCGGCATGAAAACAGGCGTGTTGGCTCTGACCTGGCCCGTTGAAGTTACCCCCACGCCCGAATGGCAGTACCAGAACTTGTTCTGCAAATCTGCTGCACGACGAGGTACCAATCCGCCGGATCGCGAATCGGCGCAGGCGCAAGTTGCACGTTCACGGCCACGTGCTCAATTGAACACCATTCCCAAGCAATATACCCAATGCTGGGCTACATGAAACTTCCTCGCTCGAGTCTGAATGCGCTCCATAATCCACTTCCCCCTCAATCATTGAATCATGGCGGTGAGGGTGGTCCGAGAGGTGCCAAAAGTGAAGTACGAAGCAAGTACGACTCGTTCATCCCGAGAACTTTCCGGTAGTGCAATGCAGGGCAGTCTCGGAGACAAGGTGTTCTTGGCTTCAAATCGCTGTAAATTCAAAACGGCAACTGGCATCATGTTTCATTGAAGGTGGGGTGGTGTAACCTTAACGTCTCCTAGGCGGTGTGCGAGATTCCCGAAGTACTCTGCAAATTGTCCACAGGTGATCACATAGTCGTGCAACATCTCTCGATGGTAACAATAATGACTTAGGGAAAGGCATTGAGTCATCGGTCTTTTTGGCGTTGCTATGGTATGCTTTCGTTGAAAACGCGTGCTTATGATCGTTAGATAGGCAGATCGGTATCTCAGTATGGGTGCAAGCTCAAAGGTTAGGTAGCTCTGAAGGAAACTCGGTGACAGAATTGAGTATATAGCAGTGTGGGTTTCCCATTGCCAGCGAGATCTTGGGAGTTGGTAGAGGCCTGTCCGCTTCCACAGGATGAAGGATGAAGTTGGTCGTCGTTGGATTAAACTCACGACCAGAAAGTGGGGAGAGATCTCACGTGAGATGCGGCCTAGTGCATCCCAATCAGGCCTAACCCCATACCCCTATTTAAACCAATCCTCTCAGGAGAACCTCACCTCCATTTTCTGATCTCTAATCAAAACCAATTGCATCGACTCGTCTGTGGTGCTTCTGGGAGACAAGTTTCATTTTGGTCCCCCAAACTTCCACTAATTTCTACCGCTTTTACCCTCCATTTGCTCCGTTTCTCGATTAAGCACAGTCCTCCGTATGCTATTTTCGTGCAGTCTTCAGTAATGACTAATGATCCAGTTCTCCCATTCCTGGGTCTCCATTTTCGCAATACCTCATACTACTCTTCCATTATAGAAACGTATGCTGATACCAAAGGCGTCTCTAGACCTCTAACTAAAGCCCCATCTGACTGAAACTCTCTCAAGCTCTCGTCGATGCTAATATGAGGTTTCGTCGTTACCCGAAGCCCCCTCCGTTCCTCTGCTGACAAATCTGCAACTTCTCTCTGGCAGTCCCCTGCTACAAGTGGAAGCTTGTTTTCTAAGCCATCAATACCCCCGACAAGGACGGCACAAAGTGTGATACAAGGATTAGCCGTACCACACATAAGTCCGAACTCGAATATTGTCTCGGTGACGCGCCTCTCGGTTCTGCCAGCTCCAACACACGTATTCCACTCTGCTCTAAATCCCCGTTGCTACTCCCTTGTAGCTGATATTGAGTGGCATTGCAAATGCTAGTATTGAAGGAAGATGGTCCAGGATGCCTGTGAATAAGCTCTCTGCTTTCTCAGGCTTGTGGTGTGTTTCAGTGGAATTGCGGAGATGCCTAGATGGTTTCAGAGTCAGCATTAGCTATTTAAAAAGAAATTTCATATTGAGTTAAAGTTTCGTGGTCCCTTTCTTATGCATACTTCTCTCACCAATAACCTCACTGCTGGAAAAGTACTTGAAAGAGGAACTTTGTGCGCACAGAACACACTTACGCGTATGAACACCGGTGTCAGCATATTTTGGATATGGTAGAGGATGTAACGTGGCCCTCAATCTGTGTTGATGAGCGATAATTGTTATCGTCTCTCGCGCCCTCAGCAGCATATTAACTGCTTCAACTAATATGCGGGGCAATAATCCGAACGCCTTTTGGCCAGGCCCCAATTCTGTGTGGAACTTTTCGGCCGCTGCGTCTACAAGAGAGAGCTTTCTTGCAAGTTCACCAATCATCTCGAGAATCAACGCATCTTCCGAGGCGAGATTGCACCGCGACTTGGTACCAACCTTCTCGAACATGAAAGCTGGAGGGTCAGCGGCACCAACAGATTTCATGGATACAACCTCGAATCTCAAGATGAAGCAAACGGGCTAGACTTTACTCCATCTGAAATCTTCCTTTAAGACTTGCAAGCTGGCTGCGTGCGCAGATAGATGTAGAGCAGCACCGCTTCTTTCCAGGAATAAAGTCATAGTCTACACCCTCATTGGACCTCTTCCTGGGTAGGCATATTATTGGAAAGTAATCGATTTATTGATGGAAAATCGATATATTGGAGTTTGATAATCTGTAGAATGACTAGATACAGGAGAGTGAAGAGTAAAAAAAAGGAGAGGAAGGAATCTAAAGTATAGTTCTTATATACCTACTAGTGGGTGGCGATTTCCTCTAGTATATTATAAATCAGATGACTCATATATATTAGTGAGCGTTCCCTGAGCTTCCATAGTGAGCTATTCTATAGGCTTCTATAGTAAACCATTATAAATGAGAGTGGCGAAGCTAATATTAGTAGTTAAACCTGGTACTGGAAGGACTAGTAAGCTAGTACTAATTTAATACGCCTCCTCCTTATAGTCGAGGTTCGACGTTAGTGAGGCTAATAAGCCCCAGCTTTGATTGTAGTAGTTCGAAAGCCGGTCTAGGGAGTGGTTTGGTGAGAATATCGGCCGTTATTTCCCTTGTAGGTACGTGCTTAAGATTAATTTCCTTAGTATTAATATGATCTCTAATAAAATAATGTCTAATATTGATATGCTTGGTTTTTTGCGAAAATCGGGCGTTTGTAGCTAGATCTATAGCTCCCTGAGCGTCCGTTTTTACCTCGATTAAGCCTATAGGAATTGATATTTCCTTAAATAGTTGCTTTAGCCATAAAGCTTCTTTGATTACCGGCGTTAGGGCGATATATTTAGCTATAATAGTAGCTATAGCGACAGTTTTTTGCTTGGTACTAGCCTAGCTAATGGAACCACCAAATAGGGTAAAAACCATACCGGAAGTTAATTTGCGATCCTGTAAATCGCCTCCATAATCGGTATCTGAGTACCCAATGAGCCCTTTATTAGACGAAGCGCTATATAAAATGCCCATATTAAGCGATCCCTTAATATATCGCATTATATGCTTCTGTATAATACCGTGCGAAGCTTTAGAATACGAATTGGAACGTCCTAAATAGCCTGCAGCAAAGCAGAAATCGGGTCTTGAAGCTAAAGAAGGCCATATAAGTAATCCAGTTCGACTTTGATATTCCGTAATATTAATATTGGTTCTATTAGGTACTATAGGTTCGGCTATTAGAGTGGTAATTGGCATGTACCTTTCCATTTTATACCTTAGGAGCATATTTATAAGATATTGATTTTGGTGCAAAAACACCGAACCGTCCCGTAAACGTATGATTTCCATACCTAGAAGCGTTTTGATTTCCCCCATATTAGTTATATCAAACTTCTGATATAATTAAGCCTTGATTCTATTAATATGAACCATGTTTTTTCTAATAATAATTATATCGTCTATATAGATAGTAATTAAGAGGGGTAGTTAATTAACCTCGTATTCCTGGTAGATATAGAGTACTGGATTACTAAGTAATTACTAGAAACTAATAGAATAGAAAAATCGATTAATTACCTAATACTAAACCCTAGGGGCTTGTTTCAGGCCGTAAATACTCTTTTGCAAGCGGCAAATAAGGTTCGTTCCTTCGATAAAACCAGGGGGTTATTCCATATAGCACTTCTCTTCTAATTCTCTATATAGGAATGCTATTTGGATATTTATTTATTGGATATAAAGCCCATATTTAGCTGCTAGGGCTAATATGATTCGAATAGTAGAAAGTCTGGCTATAGGAGCAAAGGTTTTAAAGTAATCTATGCCATATTCTTAAGTATAGCCTTATACTACGAGCCTAGATTTATGGCATTTATTAGACTTGATTTTGAAGATCCAGCGGTATCCGATAGTTTTTTGGTGTTTTCGTACTACTAGATCCCAGGTATGGTTCCGTAAATGGGAATCTAGCTCTTTCTTAATTAAAGGTCTCCAGAGATAAGTATCTGGGCCAGAGAGAGCTTCTTTAATTAATAATGGAATTTTGGAAGCTTCTGTATTCTGGTTAGTAACTAGTAAAGCATGGTAATCCACTAATTCCCCGGTAATTCTAGTCGATTTTGGATATCTAGGGAGTAGTTTACCCCTAAAACTAATTATTTCGGGCATCTCCTGATTTATAGAACCCTATTTAGAAGTATCTGCAGGTACTACAGGTTCTTGGTTCTCCCCAGAAGGTAGTTTAAGGGGCTTGCTTAGGTCAGGAGTATCCGAAATTACGTTACGTAACGCGTTTTTAGTAGTACTTCCTTCTGTATTAGAGTGATTTTCTCTATTATTTTCTAATAGATTATTAAGCTATTAATTTCTAGTATTAATAATAATAGTATTTTCGTAATCTATATCTGGATTATCCGAATTATTAGTAGAACTATCGTCAGATTCTGTAGCAGTTCCTACTAGTCTTCTATATAGCTAGGATACTAGGTTTAGGAATAAGATTCCCTTAACGTATTCTTTAATAGTATAATAGTTGGAAATAACGAATATCCGCTTATACGGGTTCCAAATTCAGTATCTAGAACCACTATAGCTAGTGAAAATGCCCCTAAAGGCCTTGGCCATATACTTATACTATAAAGCTATTTCCTTAGGTATATGGACATATACTAAGGAACCGAATATCTATAGGTTAGAAACGTCCGGTTTAATCCCATAGAACGCTTCGTATAGGGTCATTCCTATTTTGGGTAGGTAGTATTAATTATAGGCATAAATCCCATATATAGCGGCTTCCTCCCAAAACTCGTATGGTAGGCCCGATTATTCTAGTTCCGTATACTTTGCTTTAATAATTATATGCATACTATATTTAGAAATACTATTCTGTTCGGGTATATAGGTAGTAGTTAGTTCTAGACGAATCCCCTTTAATTTGTACTAGTTCTTAACTTGTCCTAATATAAATTCTAGAGTATTATTAAGGTATAGGCGCTTGACTTTATTCCTAGTTTGGGTTTTAGAGAAGGTTACTTGATCCTGAAGATCTATAAAGTAGCCCTTTCTATCCGAATTATATACTGCCATATAATATTTGGTACCTTTATAAGTAGTAGAAAGCATATAGGAGTTTTTGCTAAGGGATAGAATTCTTAATAGCCCCTATAAGTTAATTATAATATACTTTCCTAGAAGTAGTTTTTCCGGGTATAGCTTAGTCATACTAGCCCTAGTAATCTTGCTTATATTATATGGATTATAATCGAATAGGTTTTGGTTCTTGAATTAAAGCCTATAGATATGGTTTATTAATTCCAGGATATACTTCATATTCAGGTATTTATATTACTAATACCACGTTTCTAGGGAGGCTAAAGCTTCCGATTTTAATGCTTTTAGGGCATGCCCTGAACCAAATTAGTCAAGCTAATATAGCCCTATAGAGGGGCTAAAGGTACCAGTTATAATAGTAATTCCTTCGTTAATAACTTGGACTTTCCCTTTAGAAAAATTAATATCTCCTCCTACTCGTATGATTTTGGGAATTAATAATAGGAAGGTATTCCGGAATTAGGGGCTATAAAGTATATTATTAAGCTATATTTTTAGCTCCGGTTTAGTAGCCAAAATAATGGTTCCTTTTTCCCTAATAAGAACCGTAGATTTATTTCCAAGGGTAATTAAAATAGGATTAATTTCTTTATAGGTAATAAAGGAGCCTTTGCTTCCCGTAAAATAGTCCGTAGTACCTGAATTAATATACCAGATATTCGTGGAATCATTATTAAGTAATTAGCTACTAAGGAGGGCGCTAATAGTCGATTTTTGAGTAGTATATACTTTCTTATAGACAGGTAATTAGGAGGCTAAAGGCACCTCCTAATTAGTGAAATTGGAGTCTTTTCTATTAGAATTAAAGTAATCCTGGGCTAATTTATAGGTAATATAGTCTTTAATATCGTACCCTTTAAATTTGTGGAATATATAGTAAGCATTGGGATCCCTAGCTTGCTTTGGTTTTTTATTATTTGACTAATTATTTCCTTGGGTAGCTAGTGCCTTAGGAGTAGTATCCGGGTTGAAATTAGAGGTTTTAGCCCTAAGCTTATTCTCTTTGGTAGAAGCGTCCGCTTTAAGTAATTCCAGCTTTAATTTATTAATATTAGCTCTAATAGAATTCAGGAGGGGCTTATATAAGTCGTATTTCTTTGGTAATCCGCGAATCAGATATCCGGATACGGAAACGTCCGAAATTGACCCGTTTACCCCCTTGATTTCAGCTACTTTGCGACTAATGCGGTTAATAAAGTCGTCTATTCCTATAGTAATATCAAATATAATAGTTTCCATTTGTTAAAGGTATAGGGCTTCCTTTTGAGCTTTTAGCTATTTAGCTTTGACTTGAATCTCGCTCCAAACCAGGTATACGAGCTTGATTTCCTTGAATTATTGCCAGGTATTGTGGGTAATAAGTAAGCTTAGTACCGCTCTGGCGATTACTAATTGACGAGTAATCGTTTTATTATCTTTTTGGGACGAAATAAGGGCAGGAGCTTGATCAGGATCGACGAATTGCCATAGATCTTCGACTATGAAGAGGTTCATAGCGTCGTCCATCCAGGAGTAGATGTTGTTGTCCGAGAGAGGCTCGATTTTGGTACCTTTGTAGGTAATATGGGTTGATTTTTTGGAATCCGGCATATTGGATTTTGCGGAGAATTTCTGACCGAAAATGGCTGTGTTTTTGGCGAATTCTGCTGACGCGAAGCCGAACTAATGGGTGGAATTCACCAAAATTAATGATTTTGATGATTTTTGGAATGGATAAGTGAGTACTAAGGTCAAGTGACGCTTGGATCGCTTAGTAAAGCACTAGCCGGGCTCAGAACCTATTGGAAAGTAATCGATTTATTAATGGAAAATCGATATATTGGAGTTTGATAATCTGTAGAATGACTAGATACAGGAGAGTGAAGAGTAAAAAAAAGGAGAGGAAGGAATCTAAAGTATAGTTCTTATATACCCACTAGTGGGTGGCGATTTCCTCTAGTATATTATAAATCAGATGACTCATATATATTAGTGAGCGTTCCCTGAGCTTCCATAGTGAGCTATTCCATAGGCTTCCATAGTAAACCATTATAAATGAGAGTGGCGAAGCTAATATTAGTAGTTGAACCTGGTACTGGAAGGACTAGTAAGCTAGTACCAATTCAACACATATGCTGACGAGAGATGAGCTTCGAGATACAAGACTCCTAGAACAAAACCTCTTTTTGCAATGTGACCATTCCTTAACCTGTGGGGTATGGAGGACGCAACTCTCGCTCTGATGCCACTTTCGAGCATTTGGGATAATCGGGAAGTGAGAATCATAACGATAAAATAAGACATATTCAGAGGCATAAATCGCAGCCAAATAAATTCGCGGTCATGGCGAAGCAGGATCTCTTTCCAAAACTTTGGGATCTGGTCTACTTGACACTGAGGTTCAATCCTGGAATCCGGATGAGAGCACGGCCACTAGAGGAATCTCAGCCCAGAGCCTGCAGCTTGTGACAGGCTCGATAAAGTATCCTGCCGTACGAGCTTGACAAATGTGCGCCAACCTTCTCGTCGCCTTGAGAGCAATAGATCTGGATCGAACATACAACCACGATGCATACGGAATCCCACTTTCGTCACACACATATATGAAGGCCTGTCGCACACAAGCTGGATACCGTGGTTCCTTTTCTTATTGGCATGTTCAGTAAGGGAGTGAACGGGATGCATACATCGACCTGCCTCTAGTGACCTCTCAATTTTCTTCTCCTTTCCATCAGTGAGCAGCAAGTATTGGAAGAGCTATTGGCCTTACTCAATCGAAGTCCCATGATATACGCTGCGCTCCTTTCTGCTTCTGTTAATTCTTTCAACCGTGGGCTATGTCTCAATCCACGAGCGTTTTTGAGCAGGATCTTGCTGCCACTCTCCATAAGCGTAAGGAGAAGGGAAGGTACCGTCCTATGTACCCGCCTTCCGAGCTAGCCAACACGATCGATTTCGGCTCCAATGACGCCCTCTCACTGTCTTCCTCAGGAGCTCTTCGATGCGAATTTCTGCGAGAGCTTGAAAGAAATCCTGGATTCCAGGTTGGAAGCAAGGGGAGCCGACTTGTTGATGGGAACAACCAATATGTGGTAGACCTTGAAGCATATCTAGCCGACTTTCACAAGGCTGAGACAGCGCTTTTCTTCAATTCGGGCTATGATGCGAACGTTGCGGTGTTTACAACGCTGCCGCAGCCAGGGGATGTTATTGTGCATGACGAATTTATTCAGTGAGCGGTTCTGTGCAAGTTTTTACCTCAAACACGTATCGCTGACTTATTCGGCAGTGCCAGTGTCATCGATGGAATGCGCCACACAAGGGCAGCATCAACACAAGCATTCAAACACAACAGCATCAAGTCCTTCAAGGAAGTTCTTCACAATGTCAAAGCGTCCTTCCCCGAAGTCCGAGAAGGTCGAAGATCTCTTTTCGTTGCCTTGGAGTCGCTGTACAGCATGGATGGTGACTTCCCTCCAGTACACCAGATACTGTCAGTCGGCAAGGAGTTATTCCCTCTCGGTAATGTTGTTTTCTACGTAGATGAGGCTCACTCAAACGGTATCATGGGACCAAAGGGCTCTGGTTATATATGCCACCATGGTCTAGAGGATGAATTTGCCATTCGAGTTCACAGTAAGTTCCCAAAGAGCAGACCTGCCCCTATCCCAGACTGTCTTAAAAAGAAGCATCCAAATCTACTCGATCAGACAATTGCTGACTTGCGGTTTCCTTACAGCATTTGGGAAGTCACTGTCGTCTAGCGGTGGTAAGTAATGATCTCAATTGGAAGTATAGAGTTTTTCAAATACTGCTTTGCTAACTCGCGGACAAAGCAATCGTCTTGGCTAGTTCAATCGTAAAAGATACCCTTGCAAATTATGCGAGGAATTTCATCTATTCGACCGGACCCTCGTTTCCGAGTCTGGCCTGTGTGAAGGCAGGATATAATCTTCTTGAGAGTTTGGAGGGTGAACAGGTCAGTAAAGTAATCCACAGAAGTTTATCCATACTGATGATTGGTGTCCTGTTGCAGCGACGACAAAGGCTGCAGAAAGCAACATCTTACTTTCTCCAATGTTTCTTTAAACACCCAATCTGGAACCAAATCAAAGGGAGTGCCAACATTGGCATTGCTAATCCGGGAAGATTGGTTTCCAGCGACTTTCAATCTCCTATTGTACCAGTCACTACAAAAGCAGGGAAGGCTTACCCTCTTCGGGCGTGGCTGTTGAGAGAAGGGTTCTCGAGCTGGGGAATCGCGTACCCTGTGGTACCGAAAGGGGAAGACAGAGTCAGAGTTGTGATTCATGCTGACAACTCACACCCGCAGATGGAAAGATTTGTTGATGTCATTATGCAATGGGCATTGGAGCAGGAGAGGAGCAAGAGACCCGACTTTAAAGCCCAGTTGTGATGTGGGAATCACTGTGATGTCTTGAGATAGGGGCTACTGAATAGAAACAAAAAGTATTCCGGGTAACCCGCTACGAGCTATCAAACTTGATTTTCGAGTTATTGGTGTTCGGAAATATCAATAAATTTTAGGAATTGTCCCCGAAATGCTATCGTTTTGGTTGAAAGTGTCCACATGGGTGCAAGTGTACATCTCAATCTCGAGTCACGACCAGATACAAATTCAAAAGGAATGTCTTAGACAAGTTGCACTTCAAATTTGCCGGGAAGGCTTGGTCAACTTCCACGGGGGCTCATCGTTCATTCACGTACGCCCAACACTCCACTGCCGGACGGAACCTCGGGTACGTGGTGCCATATGGGAATGGCTAACTGCATATTTCATCGAGGACAAAACCTTGTCTGGTGAAAAAAAAAGGTACTCAGTAATATCTACTCCGTAGATAGGAACACAACTGCATAAGCGGTGTGGATGCATTCTCCCTCTTGACACCGCATCTCACGCTTCACGAACAAGTCCCGATGGTCGCCAAAGCAGCAGTTGGGGTTCAGGGTGCTTATCTCACCAATTACCTCTAGCGTGCCGTCCGATTGTCGCTGTCACACAGCATAACTAGAGGGGCGTAAAACCAGAAATACCAACCAAATTAATCCAGAAATCCCGGAGTTGAATCGGAATCTCTGTAGGTGCAGTGTTCTGTCTCACAATTGCTTTGTTGTTCCACTCAATTTCGTGGATACGTCCCTCGGCTGTGCAACAGTGCAACAATGCATTGTTGAACAGAAGGTTCAAATCTCGTACAGATTGCAGACGGTAGCCTCCCCTTTAATGTCCTTCCTTGAGAAACATCGCACTACAGGTGAGAAACCCCAGGTGCATTATGCTGCACATTGCAGACTCTTCCGACGGTGGCGTTGTGGGCCAGCGGGAGTTACGCTTCATGTTGTGTCAAAAGAATTCCTGCTTCCTAACTAATTTTAATATAACCCTTCATCAGCTGATGTTCCAAATAGGGCCGCGAGAACACTCTTGCCAGTGAACCCGTGCTGCATTCTCATTCCGAGATGTTCTCCAAGTTGTCAATATTTGCCGTTCGGAAATATAGAACCTTGTCTTCCTAACACGTTGGTTCACGAATGTAGTGTTCCTGTGCCGAACAATTTCGGCTACACCTGCTGTGCACCCTTGAGAATTTAAATCCGAAAGGCGTTACAATCTCGGGAGGCTCGATCCCGAAAAAGTTTGTGATACAATTCAGGGCTCGGAAAGTGCCTCTTCCCTCATGAATGGAATGTTTCACAAATTGCTCATCCAAGTTCAATGTTTGCCAGAGGGTACGGCTCAACGCCACCAAAGAATTTCTGTGGGCGTGGGCGTCAGTCAATTCAACTTCGGTGTATTGCGTAGTGGCCGTGCCATCTTCGTGATTTGCTTGTTGAGCTGCGGCATCGTCAACCAAATCAAGCCGCACCAAAATGATGTCTCCTCGGATCCAGCTGCTATTAGCACTCGCCTTTGCCTTCTGTATCAAACGGATTATATCTCACTTACTGGATCCTTTGCGACTTGTTCCCGGACCGTTCTTGGCGAGATTCTCTCGACTGTGGTATCTTTTTAGCAGCCTGAATGGGCGTGGCCATGAGACTATTTCCAAGTTGCATGAAAAATACGGTAGGAAGAGCTACTTTTCAAGACGCTTTTGACACGGTTCTCTGCCATTGGCAACCTTGTATTCAAAAATTCTGATTTTCACTTTCGAGTAGGCCCAGTTGTGAGACTGTCTCCCGCAGATTATAGTATCGCGGACCTCGATGTTGCCAAGCAAATATATGGACCTCGCACTGCCTACGAGAAGGTAAATATCAAAATTTCTCAAAAAAAAATCATCAATCAATCCCCTTTGAAGTGAACGCTATGCTGATATTTTGATCCACTCTGCTCTTTGTAGTCTTCCTGGTACTCAGCATTCCGAAGCCCCGAGAAGGAATACACCATCTTCACCGACCAGAATAACAAGCATTACTCTCAAGTCCGAAGAAAATATGCAAACGCATTCTCTCTATCCAACGTAACTCAATACGAAGGATCTCTCAACAAATGCCTAGGCCTACTCTGTCAGAGGTTCACCGAGATAGCAAACGAAAAGTCCGAATGCGACTTGTCCCAATGGTGTCGATTCTTTGCTTTCGATTCGATATGCCAGATGTCAATTGGAGATTTGAAAGTTATGGAGCTGGGCCAAGATCAGCATGGGATAATTTCCATGGCTCAAACGAGTACTGTTTACGGAAATGTTGTGTAAGTCGTTTTCTCACACTCACCCACACTCTCGACACCTGTCCGTATTGTCGCCAGGAGACTGTGCTAATTCGTTGTCAGAGGTCGCATCCCAGAATGGCACCATTGGATCTGGAAGCTCCTTCCAGCAGACAAATCTGAAAAAGGAGCTATCGCATGGATCCGCGAAACCATGGCCAAGAAATCACGCGGCGAATACAACAGCGCAACAACGACATTCACAGACGTGTGGCTCCAGCAAGAAGAAAAGATGAGCCGGGAAGACATCTTCCTAGGTATTGCTGCGAGTGTTGGAGGAGGATCGGACACAAGTTACGTGACAATCGTGAACATTATTTATCTTCTTGGGAAGCATCCTGAGGTTCTGGAGAAATTGCAAGTCGACATTGACGAAGCTGTGAAACGGGAAGGCCTGAGGGAAGGCTTGATCTCGTATGAGACAGCCCGGCGTCTTCCGTATCTACAGGCTGTCATCAAGGAGTCAATGCGGATAATCCCAGTTGTTGCAGTCCAGCCTCCACGTTTTGTGCCGAAGGGAGGCGATACGCTCGCAGGCCATTACTTCCGTGAAGGGCTGACTGTTGGTGTCAACCCGTGGTCGACTCGAATGAACGCCAAATATTTCGGAGATGATGCACATATTTTCAGGCCGGAGAGGTGGTTGGGCGAGGGAGAAGAGGTGAAGCGTAATGAGTATTACCACATGCCCGTAAGAAATTTTTCCCCATGTAAATTGTTCTGCCAGGTTTGCTGACCAGCTTTTGCATAGTTCAGCATTGGACCTCGGAGCTGTATAGGGAGGCATCTCGCCATTTTTGAAATCACGAAAGCCATAGCACAGCTGGTCTATCTTTTCTCTTTTCATGTTACCGTTCCAGAAGGGGAGCTTCGCTATCGCAGCTATTCGCTGGTGCAACCAGACGTGCTGCGTTGTAGGATTGAACTCCGGAGACAGTGAGATGAGTGTTGAATGAGAACAACCTGTCACATGCAATTTGCGATGGCCAGCTATCATCCATTTTCCATTTCCCCTTGAAGTCTCATACAAAAAGGTGGGTGAGGCCATGTTTAAGTCGAAATCAATATACATAGCCTTTAGTAATTCCGCGTCCTTGAAACTTCGGTGACTTACGCGACCTCGCTATATGTAACCATGATGGCAAATCATATCAAAAACGAAGGGACCAACACAGTGCCCCGTCTTCCATTGAGTATATGTTATATATATAATACAGGCATATTTCTACACAAATCCAGGATACCATGTCCCTCTTCTTCTTCTACTACTTCTTCTCCTCCCCATTTCCCCTCCCTTTCTCCCACAACTTCCACCACATCTTCCTTTCCAGCAACCCCGGCACTCTCCTTGGCATACTATAATTCGCCAAATCTTACTCAAAACACCGCTCATTCCGCGTTTTCGCCTCACTCAGCGCCCTTTCCCAATCCAACCTCACCACAAGCCACAACTCAACAGCAGCACAAACGGCCATCGCCACCAAGCACCCAACCCAAATCCCAAGCAACTTCCACCCCGCCACAAAAGCCAGTAGTAAACCCAACGGCAAACACAAAATCCAAGAGCAGAATAGCTGCGAGTAGCCAGCTGCCTTGGGTCTGCCCACCGCACAGATAATCCCATTGCACGACGAGACGATCCCGTCGAAAATCCCCATGGCAGCGTAGATGGGAAGTATGGACATCATTTCAGCGACAACTTCGACATCGGCTGTAAACAAGAGCGGGATCTTCTCTCGAAGACAAACGAGTAGGACGAGATTTGACGTTCCGAGAAGCACGCCCACGCCCATCGAAACATGCGTAGCAACCAACGCACGTCTCGGAAGCCCCGCACCCACCGAATTCGAGATCCGCGTGCTGCTGGCAATCGCAGCAGAAGTGCATATCTGGTACCCAAGGCTAACGATCGATGCGAGAGCTGACTGCGCGGCGAGTTCCACCGAGCCGATATAGGAGGACACGATCGTCTCGAGCTCCCAGGCGAGGAAACAAGCCTCGAGCATCAGGAACGTGGGGATCGCGAGGCGGATCATGGGGCTCCAGTTCTGGAAGATCTTTTTGCGGCTGAACGGGTGCCAGCACTCGTATCCGGCGATGAAGCGGACGTAGAGAGCTAGGAGGAGTGGGAGGAGGTTGTTGGTGATTGCTACAGAGATGGGGGCGCCGTTGAAACCCCAGCCGAGCTTCTGAATAGGAGGTTAGAAAAAGAGTGGAATTTCTTGGGTGAGCGGACTTACCCAAACGAACAGCCAACTCATGACAGCATTCAGAGGTGCGCAGATGAGAAGGACAGACAGCGTAGCGCGAAAGAGTCCTTGGGCTTGGACAAACTTCTTCCCTGCTTCGAAGCATGCGAATCCTGGCGCCCCCAGCAGGACGATCCGGAGATAAGTTCCAGCTAACTCAGCGGTCTCTGAGTGTTCGTCAGGGATGAGAAATTTGATAACACTTGCTGCATTAAGCCAGAAAGCTCCAATTGGGATCGTCAAGAACAGAAGGAAGGCGGTCATTCGTTGCATGTGAAGCCCGACGAGCTTGAAATTCCCTGCACCATATGCTTGCGGACAGAGGGTATCTAAGCTTATGGAAAAGCCTTGATATACGCAATAGCCGGTGATTATTGCCGTCAAATTGGCTAGGCTTACTGCTCCCAGCTCCTGTGCACCCATGCGCCCAACGACGAAGATACTCGAAACTGATATTGAGGTTTGAAGCAGCATGGAAAGCATCATCGGGGCCGTAGATAGAACGATTTTCTTGATTTCATCCTTCCAGAGAGCTGCAGTGGGTATGGACTTTTCGTCAAAATCGGCTGAGGCGGCACAGAGAGGTGTATGTTCGGTTGGTTGGCTTGGACCTCGCGAGCTGCTTGGGTCGTGGTGCTGCGACCCTGGTCGGGGATAATTGTGATATGGAAGTTTGAGTTCAGGGGCTTGCCCATACTCGATGGTACCATATGCCACATCGCCCTGATACGGTGGATTGTTGTTTGAGCCACCTCGACTTGCGGATAACCACCCACTATCTTCGCTGCAGCATGAAGACATTCTGGAAGGCCTAGTGAAAGACTCTTACGTTGAAAGGGATCGTGACATGAAAATTTAAACAGCAAAATAAAAACAAAGAAAGGATGGCCCAGTGGACAAGTGAGCACAAGCTGTTTAATCTAATTCATCAATCATGTTGCTGGTCAGTAATGCCTCAATACCATCTCAGAGCTGATCTATATGCCATTGGAGGTTGGCACAGGCCCCTCGCCATGAGGCAATTTGATCGCCGAGGATCTTCGAATAGTGAAACGTCACAGTGGTGGTGGCGTGGGCTTGCAGCGTACAGGTACCTATGAGAGCCTGGAGCGGCCTGCCAGAATAGCCTCGGAAGCCCTGTATTCATAACACTTCAAGCCCGTGAAGCCCTGTCTTCAAGTTAATTCCAGCGTGAACCCGGAGCGTGTGGATCGCTGAAGAGCTCAAACTATTTGCTTATATGAGCTATAGAGAACACAGGAGCGAACAGCAGAGGCAAAGTAACTGGGGAGCAGGGAGGAGGATATACTCGTGGGGGAGGTGGTCGAAACTGTTGAACTACCAGCGAGGAGACTACGTCCGTAGATTTCCTTACGTCAATCAGGCTTGTTTTTTTCGACTCCCCTAATGCGGCCATCTCACTGGCAATTGAGCCACCTTCGCGACCAATACCATAATATTGATTGGTGAGACGTCGCGATATTCGGAGTTCCCTTCCTGCCCATCGCCGACTTGTGGACAACGCAGTTCAGGTTCCGTTACCACGATCTTAGGAAAACTCTAATTGGTGATCAGTTATAACACAAGGAAATAACGGCGAATCAAAGAGTGAGCTCACATCGCATGTGTTCCAAACCCACCTACGACATTGCATCTGGAGTGACACGGTGTGAGACTGGAACATTGCAGGCGAAAGATCGAGCCACCGCACAGGACCACAGGTTCCGATCCTGTTCAGCATTATCGATTTGAGATGCAAGGGAGGACTTTGAAATGCCATCATGTGGGGGAGCTATAATTCCCGGTCTTGGGAGAAAGGTCGGCAGGTGATTGGAAAAGGTAATGTGGCTGCAGTTGCAGGCGGTTCGTGAGCTCTGTGTCCTCCTCGCCATCTTGACATGGGAGTTCCACCGTCTCAAGACACCTTAACACTGGCACCCTGTCACTGGCATCGCCTACCTGAAAGACTTTGGTGTTAAACAAGCACTGATGCGAGCACTCCCAAATCAGAAGTCGGCAACACTCGTCACCTTCCGCCTTCCATTGTGAAGCTTGGCACTCGGCCAAGGGGAGAATGAAGAAAGAGAAAGGGGGCTTGTAAGCGTGTGCTAGTGGGCACCAATCTGCTCAAGGAAGCATGCTCGCCCCCAGCCAGAACGTACTCGAACGCGTGTATACCAGTACAGCTGGCCGAGTCCTGCGTGGACTTCCCAAAGATCCACTCCTAATACTTCCCTCTTCCAGTATCGCAGCAAGGGCTGCTCATCCAGGTCTGGAATTTTTGCTCGTCTGACTCATGCTGCTCAGCGTGGTATTATTCCCTTCATTGAAGCATGATCACCATCGATGTCTGATAGTTGACTCCTCTTCCAGTTCAAGAACGCTTGGTCTAACCGCATATCGGAACATTGCCGTATTATCATTCGAGCTTGTCGATGAACACACCTAGTTGGTCTCCAGTCTTCGGCAGCGCAGCGCAGCACTGATGTCATCCCCCGGACAGCCATAGTCCCCCACACGGAGCAACGTCGCACCCTTTGCACTTTCAAATCTTCGTATGTTCTCGCCACTTGTGCCATCCTTGTCGTTGCTGCTCTCGAAATGGTGGACATCGCTCCCGATCCCCTCCATCGTGTTCTGGTATCTCGGCTGTTCTCTGCATCACGGCCGTCTTCAATGTAGTTGTAACCTTCGTCGTGCCCCAGCTCTACAGGCACCCTAATCACTTGTACAGCTGCCTCTTGTATTGTTGAAAGTCCAGCGTCTCCTGTACCAATCCAACTCTCTCCTCGTCCTCTTGGATGCATCTTGTATTGCCTCCTTCCGCCAAGTTCGCTCTGTCCTTTCCTCTTCACGTCATTGATGGTGGAACTTGGGAGGCCGAGTCGGGGGGATAGAGATAGAAGAGGCAGGAATTGAAGGTAAAGCAAGCAAGAGCAGGCTTAAAATCAGAACCGGGGCAGTCTTTGATTGCGGAGGTAAAGGTCAGAGGGAATCTGCGAGGGCAGTTAGCTCTTGTTGTAAGGAATATTTGGCAAGCTGGTAGAGTGGGTGACAGTTAGTCAAAAGCATTTGGATTGGACTTCCTGCTCGGGACGATGTGGCGACGTGATGTTGGTTCGCAGTGACCCAGCGTCTGCGCCGAATCATGGTTATCTGACCCCGGCGGCACGAGCAGTGGTATCCCACAGCTCCGAGATCTTCCTGCAACGCGATAGTTGTCTTGCTTTTGCGTACTGCGGAGGAATAGGTGGAGTAGTCTTTGGTCAAAAGACGTGAATTCCAAGAAAGTGAATCAAAGTTGAAAGACCGTCGACGCGTCGATCTCTGTGGCATCCGCAGCTGTGTTTTGTTATGTGAAATTTCTCCATTTGGCTTTCCCCAGGTTTTGGATAGGAGGTGCTTTAAATTCGGGGATGTTAGGATAGAAATGTGTAGTATATCTTTGAGCAACGCCCCTCCAGTCCTCCATCAATTCCTTGGCTTGCAGCCTTGTTCGTTCTCCCCCGCTCTCTCACGACCAGAAAGCAACAGAGCAATTACCACAATGTGTCCATCACCTTCTGACTTTGCTTTGAAAAACAAGTCGCCACAAAGGCGGTTCCGAAGCCTTAGATATGGCGCTCTTATATCCTCAACTCAAGCATAGGCATACATGATTGAAATGCCCGTCGATGCGCACCGTTCGCAGAGCTTTTGACCTGACAGGCCCGGCCCCTTATTTCTACGTCAAGTCTTCCAACACTGTCCAGATAATAGAGGACCCTCGTAACAGTCTTGATCAAAGAAGGGCAGCAAATCTGTTTGAAATGCAACGAAACAAGAGTTCCAATCTCTCCCTGCTTGAGAGTGCTTACTGGATGAGCGTCATACTCAAAATCAGAATCAAAATCACAACCACAAATTCACAATCAGAAGAGAAATTTCCGTTTTCTATTTATTGTGTTGTTGATCTGTCTTTTGCGATCTACAACGAGCGAGTCCCGGCCCAGACTCCTCTGCTCTCTCGCTCTCTCAAAACAACTTCTCTCTCTCTCTCTCTCTCAAGGCCACAGCCCGGCCGCGGGGCACACTACCACACAACCCACCGGGCCTCCCCGCCCCCACCAAACCACCCTCCACAACCACACACCCCCGTCCCCAAGAAAGGAAGGAGACCCACCCGCGCTCCTCCCGGCACTTTCCCTACCCGTGTAACCTCCTCCACCACCCCCCTCAGCAATACCAGTTCTCTTCCGCCCTCTTTCTCCGGTAAGAGAGACGGCCTCCTCGAACAAGGCAAGATAAAGGGATGATGAGTGTCGTCGGTCTCCCCCACCCCGCAAGCAGAGTGAGATCAAGAACCAACTCCACAAAGCAACCAGTGGAGAGGACGATCTATGCAGCAAACTTTTGTCTCGGCCGGGCCGAACCCTTTCTCACATGATGTATAGGTAGGTTAGGATCCGCGGCCTTATTTCAAGCAAGCTTGAGATAAGTTTTACATTGAGTCAATTTCCAGGGCGAGGACCACACAAAGTGTGGCTCCCAGATGGTTATGCTTCACTTCACCACTGTGCAGGGATACGACGAGAGGCCGCGAGGTCCCCCCTAAACGGTTTCCATTGAGAGTCTGCTGCGGTGACGCTGTGTTTTCCGAGGTCGTGGGGCGGCTTAAGGGTTCCCAAGCCCCTTCCGCAAATGGGGACGTAGCTCCGAAGAGTACGCCCCCGAGCGGGAAAAAGTGGCACGACTGCATTGATAAAAACCGTTAGCAGTTGTCCTTTTGAATGAGTTCTGAGATGTGGGATGGTGGATGTCAAAGAAGGGTCCAGAGCTCGGAATTTCCGAGTTGGGAGAAGGAAGGTAGGGGAAGGGATGTCGGGGTTGAAAAGGAAAGGGAAACTTACTCTTAAGATGTGCAAGAAACAAGTACCTAGCCACTGTGGTTTAAGATGGTCAGCCAATGTTATGTGAGATGGGAACGGAGATGACTTGCCAAGTTAGCAACGTGTTCAAACTGGCCCCCCCTCTCCGAAGAGAGGGGGGGAAGGGGAGTTTCCTGTGAAGCATATCAGCGTAGATCAAAAAAAAGGGAAAAGTGAGACATTCCTTCTTCACATCAATTAAACCCTCCCTCCCACCCTATATTTGTCAGCAAACATCCTTGTGAAAAAGGGAGGGGAAGGGGTTAGGGGAGTACTTTCCAAATAATTCAGGTTGCGAGCAGACCTCGTCAACACATTGTCGTTGCAGCAGACTCTCGGAAACCAGGGTTCTCAAGCTTTCTCTCGTCGCGTTACCCACGGTGCAGATCCATGAAGCAAGGTTATCTTTGATGGGGCCCCTTCAAATGATCAATGGCCGGGATCCAAATGGCGAGCCACACGGGACCCATGTTGCCAAGTTACCCGATGCCACTGGACACGACTGAAGCCGCGCGACCTGCCGTAGGTCTGACTTCAGTAGCAGCAAAGGGCCATCTACCAATGTGGCCATCAAGGAAAACCAAGAGTCATTAAGAATGCAAGAAAGTCATCACACCAGCCACTTGACTCGGTTACCCTCCCCATGCCCTCCGGACCGGACAAGGAGAGGTGGGCGTGAGCGGTACTCATGCCACCCTAACCACCCTCACCACCAGACTGAACTCTGAGAAAGTAAGCATTTGAAAGTCTGAAAGGGAAAGGATGACTTACAACGCAAGACTAGCTACTAATGGTGACAAAGCACCATAGCGGCTGACCAATGCCAGTCCAGACTCGGGTTAGATGAGTTTTATGACTTCCCAGGTCGCATCCTTGCCATTGCTGTGAACTTTCGGTGCTGTATTTGAAGCTGTGATGAAGTTTGGCTGGAGTCGGAGTAGCCTCTGTCTGAATGATGATGATAGGGATGAAGGTACTCATTTCAAAGATTCTGAGATTCATTTGAAGACGACAGCAGGCTGTTGATGAATTGAACTGCCAACTTCACGACCAAAGGGATTGGTAGCACGAATAATGAGAGCAGTTATTGCGGTAGAAGCAAGGATGCATGATGGGTGTTTGAGTCTGGACTGGACATTGGTTAGGATTGGGAGATAGCAGATTTTCTGACCTTGGCTTGCAGCATCCGAGAGTTCTGAAGTCTCCGATGAGACGTGAGACTCAGATTTCCGAGGAAGTTTCGAAGTCTTCGAGGTGACTGCATTCTGAGACTCAGATGTTCGAGTTTCTGACGTCTTGAAGGAGACTGCATGATGAGACTCGAGTGTTTGACGAGTTTCTGAAGTCTTCGGTGAGATGATTGCAATTCAAGACTCGGATGTTGGAAGGAGTTCGGAAGATTTGGTAAGAGAGCTGCGAAGAAAAGCCGGTGATTGAAGTTTGAGAGGAGCCTGAGCAGTTGGAGGGGAGAAGAGAAAATTCTTGATTGGTTTCGGGCAGCGCAAAAGCTTCGCTGGTCTTTTCAAAGAAGACCATGAAGATCAGAGATGATGCTGCAAGCTGCTGCAAAATTTCGAACCCGACTACCATCACAAGTTGGAGAAGTTGGTGATTTGAGGGTAGAAAGATGAAGAATTCAACTTCCACTGTGAGGAGTTTTGCTGGTGGAAACAGATTTGGTTGGTATTGCTCAGACTCCTCTGGGGAGATCAGAATTTTGGGGGCTACTGGAACGTTAGTGGAAACTCAAAAAACGGATAGAAAAGAGAACTTACTGCTATGGTGCTTTGTCAAGCGTGCTCATCAGAGCTTGGGGAGATGATGGTTTGATGTTCCAGAAATTGAGAGCTGTCCAATTTTAAGCAGAGACGTAACTTCTGATTGAAGTACTGGAATCGTCATGATTGCTGAATTAAAAGATGCTTTGCTGTTAGTATGATTTACGAGCCATTGGATGCATGAATTTGGATCAAATGCAGAAACAGCAGTGACAATTGTAGTTGTTTGCAAGGGACAGTAACTCAGCCAAGAAGGTAGGTAAGTATTCTGGCGGTTGGAAAAGTGAGAAGGAAGATCAACAAAGGTTTGAAACCATCACCTCCCTAGGAGATAATTTTCAAGAAGAGATAAGAGGAGCATTTGGAGTTTGCTCATTGATCTGGACCACAATTTTAGTAGCTGCGAGAGTAGCGTTGGATGGAGAGGGACTTACGTGCTCTTGAGCTCTTCCTGGACTGGAATTAGTCCAAGTGCTGCGGAATTCAGATGATTGCAACACGATGAGTGCGGAAAGAATACCTTTTATCTGTAAGTTTTGGATTTTGAGCAACAGCGAGAAATCGGAGTTGACTTACTTTGGATATTTTGAAGGTCCGCTTTATGCACGGGAAGTGGCTGTTGATTCCCTTTTTGCAGCATTGTGAGGAGAAGAATTGCGGTTAGCGTGAGGAGAAAATGTGGCGGTTGTCGTGAAGTGAAGAAGGTTGTGAAGTTGCTGCTAGTGACTTGCAGCAGGGAAGGAATGGCGGTTGTTGTGAAGTGAGGAGTTTATGACGGTGAAGCAGCTGCTCGATGATTTACAGAGTTTTGAGAAGAACATGTGGCGATTGCCGTGAATTGAAGAAGTGGAGGTTGTGAAATTGCTGCTTAGTGATTTGCAGCATTTGAGAAGAAGAAGCGGTGGTTTTCTTGAAGCGAGGAATTGATGGTTGTAAAGTAGCTGCTGAGGAACTCCCAGCATAAAGAGAAGAGGTGTCGGTTGTTGTGAATTGAGGAAGTGATAATTGTGGAAGAGAAGAGATGTTCATGAGTTGGTGACGTTGAAGTGGATGATTTTGAAGCCTTCGAAAACGTTTGAAGACTTTGAAGAAGGTGTTGCGAGGAGAAAGAGTTTGAGAACAAAACAAGTAGTGGGGATTGGGATGTGCAGATGTCAGAAGGGGTAAATGCGCAGATGACTTCAGAGGAATTCAGATGCTACCAATGCAGCGTTCCTTGACGCGCTTGGTAGAGTTGACGAGCCATGATTTGAGGCTCTGGATTTTCTGGATTCGCTGCCATTAGCTATCCAACGTACTTTGGTCTTAAGAGGGGAGATGTTAAAGTCAACTTACTGGATTGGAAGGTCTTTTATGCTAGACTCGCTCGGGAGAGGAGCCTCAGACTGAGTGATGACTGTGTCGGTGTGAGAGTTTGATTCCTTCGAACGCGTCAGGAAGACGTGGTCTACAGAAGGGGATTGAATTTACCTGTGTAAGGGAATGCATTGCAGCTTGGGAACTTCTTGTTGGCGTGATAAGAAGACTTGAGGTGCGGTAAGGTCCGAAGACAAGTGAAGAGATGTTGTGCATACGTCACGGGCTTCACTTTGGAGGGAATTTGAAAGCGGCGCAGAGCTAATTTCCTGTCCAGAATCTATGAGTGATCAAAATATTCATTAGGGAATGGATGTGAGTGCTCACAGAAGCTTTTGGTTAGAAGAGAAGGAATTGATGGCGAAGTACTGGAGGCAAGGTGTGGGAATGGACGCGATGATGAAGTTTTCGCGTCAGGCTCAGCACAGTGGAAGCGCGCGAAGTCTTGTGAAAAGACTTAATTAAGCGTGTCAGTGAGGCAAGAAGCAATTGGGATCAAAGCACTTACGAGAATTTTGGAAGAAATCCATGAAATCGCTGCGACGAAATGACGTAGCACAAGTTGGGGTGAATTTATGATGTCCAAGTGCTCAGGTACTGAGGAGCGCGTGAACTTTGAAGGCCTTGAAAAATGTCAGAGGTCAAAAGACGCGATGACAGATGGATTGAGAGACTTACTTTGATGTTTGTGAGGAAGTATGGTAAGGAGACAGCGCGAAGACGCTGGTGATGGCAAGCGCGAAGTTGTGGCGATGAAGTCGGAAGAGATGGCAGGACGCGATCAGCGTTCGGGAGGCTTGCAGAAAAGCAACTGAGATGCGAAGGGGATTGCATGTTGATCAATTGAACGATTAGGGAGGAATTGAAAGGATCTACAGCCGCAGCAGGTGGTGTTGAGGCAGAAGGTTGTTGAAGGAAAGTGGCGTCGAAGGTCGCGATGGGAGGTTGCGAAGGAAGAAAAGCTTTTCAGAGAGGAAGCTCAAGAGGGTCTAATGTCGACGCACCAAAACGGCGTTGCCAGGTGAATTGCAACGTGTTGTGATGTCGGGAGAGACTCAGCTTTGAGTCTTGCTACTTGATGGACGCGTTTCCTCCGATGGTGGCAGATCGAAGGAAAAGGACGAGCTGAAAGAAGCTTTTGACAGCGCGTCCGGAGGAGAGTAAACTCAACTTCCCAAAGATATCAAATCGGAAAAGAGAGATGTCAGACAGTCAGTAAGAGGTGGACGGGTGACGATGGCTTGGAGCCAATTGCCCCATCTGCGCGAAAACGGTGTTGACGCGATTGCAGTGTCAACAGCTTTCGCTACTTGACCGGAATTTAGTCAGCGCGGTTGCAGAATGGAAGAATTGGAGACTTACGGATGGTACTTGTGTTCAGATTATCCACTTTCCTGAGGAAGTGGTAGAGTGGTGGCGCATTGTTGAGGTGTTGGAGAGAACGCGGAATGGGAAGGCAGATCACAGCTTTTCGCGGCGGCTGGTGTGGAGGGATGGCCATCGACGTGAGGGCGAAGGCAGCGATCTGAGATTTGCAGTGTAGGGAACTTAGCTTGATGATTCTCTTGATGGCGACGTCCGATGTTGAGGTGCAGTCGTGGAGTGACGTTGAAGACTGGCCGTGGGCGTGGGCGCGTCTCTCCGACGGCGGCGACGAATTCCGAGACTGCGAGAACCAGACGCGGTCAGTACGGTAGAAGAACATCAGAATCATGTTTCTTACCTGGCTGCCGTTGCGCGATGTGCTGTAGACAGCGCAGAAGAGTGGACCAACCAATGGGTGGAAGTTGGAAGTTGTGGTGGAGGTTGGTGGTTGTTTGTTTACTTGGTTTCGAACTAGCCACAAGGTATTTTGGTGACGGTGACGATGACGCGAATTTTGACGCTGTGGCCTGAGCTAAGGCACAAGCGAACACATGATTTTTGGACAAGGCTGAGAATTGATCAGCATGTGAGTGCATTCAGTGCCAGCTGCGAGTTCATTGCAGTTGATGGCCGTGATACGCAAGAGCTCTTGATTTGCGTAAGAGAGAACCGTAAATCAGGACCAAAGTTAGCAGTTCATATCAGACGGCTACAGAAAGGTTTTGGGATTAGTGCTGATGAGAATGGATGGTGGCATCCTGGAGGCGCGTTGACGCGGCTCCGGCTGGTAGAGGAGGGGATTGCGCAGGCGTAAAGAGGTGGAAGGAGTGTGGTGAACCTCTATAGACATCTGAACAGGGGCATTGGGGATGGAGTTGTGGTGTTGTACCCCTTCGATGGTAACATGGGACCTTGGTTATAAGAAGGATGAAAGGCTCGAAGCAATCGTGGGTGAAAGCGAAGGTTTCTCAGCCGATTTGCCTCTGACGTAGCAGAGAATCGAAAGCAGAGCAAAAAAAGTGAATTACTCCAGCTTAGTCAATATTAACTCGAATTTCTTCAGCGTCAAATGGAGTTCAGAATTTTATTGCCTTCGAAGACCGATCTCGCTCGTTTGTTTTCGTCTTCGGACACGACATCGCACAACACCAACACCTCAAAACATCCCTGAAGAATCGTCCACCCGGGACAAACCAAGCACAAATTCTATCTACCCCTTGTACACATCTGAAGACACTGGTAAGTACTTGCATTTACTTTTCCGCACATCCACAAGGCATCACACCACTTCCGGCTTCGATTCCTCTGGTACCCAGCAACCTTTCAACATACTTCCAGAGAACTCCTTCCTAAAGAAACCTCTTGATTTCTATTCGAGTCTCCTCAGTTCTGTTGGTTTTCTTTCAGCAGCTACGAGTTTTTCAGAGACAGAACCACGCAGAAAAACCTTCTCGCACTGGCACACTGCCACCTTCAAAAGCACAACATTTGCCTCTTCCCCCCATTCATTCTGCATCAACCTCTCGCTGACCTCCCCTTTCCGCATTCACAGAACCAACCACCGCCACCATGCCTGACCTCGCCAAAGACCTGGAGTTCTTGCTCGCGATAGTCAAGACCGGTTCGCTCACTATCAACTATGACGCCGCCTCGACTATGCTCGGCTGGAATAAGAAGAAGACGACGAACAAGATGTCCGAGTTCCGTAAGCAAGCAGTCTCTCCAGATCCCCCCTTTCTCTTAGAAATCTTGCGTGAAGAATCTCCATATGCTAACGTCCATATCTTGCGGTGTAGGCAAGGCTCATGACTGGCCCATCAACAAGGACAAGGATGCTTCCCAAGCCAGCGCCGCTCCCAAGGCTGCAAAGGGCAAGGCTACAAAGAGAACTGCCGCCGCTGCTGGTGATGAGGAAGGTGAAGGCGAAGTCAAGAAGCCTGCTGCTAAGAGAGCAAAGAACAAGAAAGCCGCCAAGGAAGAGATTGCCGAGGACGAGGCCGTTGCGGAGGAAGCTGTTGAGGAAGAGGGCGATGATGCATAATTTCCATAGACAGATGATAGATGCGTTGGCCTAGGGGTATGATTGAGAATAATCATGGCCAAGCTTGGTGGACAACAATGGATCTGGGAAATGGATTTGAGCTTTCTTCGCGGTTCTCACATGGGCGTATTGGGAAGCAATACCGAATATCAGAGAAGTTTGGGGAGATGAACAATGAAATACAGATGTCCTCCCGTCTTTCATGCATCCAAGATACAAAAAACAAGTCATGCATTTTATTCCTACTATTTCCTGCCATCATTTTCAGATCATCAAGTCGATGCTTCAAGCTTGGATGTCAACAAACCCCTGAGTACGGCAGACGGCAAGCATAGCCGCTGCAACATCTTGGCAAAGCTCAGCCCCGCACCCTCTCTTTCTCTCACCTTCCTCCTCCCTCTCGCTCGCCGAACCCTCGATTCGAAACAATATTCCTCACTCGTTCGTACTGTCTCGTCTCCCCTCCTTTAATCTCCCAGATTTTCTTTCTTTCACCGCCCTCGATCGCATTTGACCGCACTTGGTTTGGTGTGGGTTGCTGCAGCACAGCACAGCCCCAAGCCACCGAGAATTTGCTCTCACCCCGGCTGGTGGGCGCAGCAAAATGCAGCCGATGGCCAAGATTTTGATATCGCATCCACACCGCTCATTTGTGTTCGATCAATCTCTCGTCGACAGTAGACTGCGGTTCCTCATTTGCTTTCACTCGCTGCGCGTTTGCTTTCGCCAGCAGGATGCAGGGAAATGGCTGCGAAGTGCTTTCGCCGGTTTGTGGCTGCTGCGCCCACCTCTCTTACTCTTCGTACCCCGTTAGATTTGCTCTCACCACGTCTTACAAGATCCCGCTATTGTCCGGCCCCTGTCAGAGTTCTTGGAATGCATCTATATCCTATGTCAAACTCGTGCGGAGTATCCAGTCCAGTTTTTCTATCTTCCAACAACCTCAAAGGAATCAGTGTTGTTTCGCGCAAGCACACATGGAATTACATAAGCTCGTTCGAGCCTTTGATTAAAAGGGCCCGAACGTACAGGAATGGAAACCTTACGTCCTTTTACCCGTTCCAATCACATTCGTATTACCATCCCTCACCTGATAAGCGTTCTAAGCGAGAAATCATGTGAGAACCGCTGAACGATTACTACAAGCGGAAAGCCCACTCATTCCGAAATTCAGCCTTGAGCCACTGATACTGCTCCTGGGTCGATTCATCCAAATTCGAGATGGCTACATGAATCTTCAATCGACCGAGTATGAGAATCAAAAGGATTTTGTGAGGACTTGGATGAGGGGAAGTATTCCTATCCGATTGTCCTTTCCCTGGTTCGCAAATCCGAATAGGAAAGTCAGATTACTGGAATTTTCCGACAGAGACTATTCCGAATCGATCAATCGTCATGCCTTCCACAGGAAGCGGAACTGCATATTCTTCAACTCCTGAACGAATCGGGGACTTTTAGTGCTACCTTGTAATTTTTTTTTTTCTTGAAGAGATTGGAGAGTGAAATTGAGGGTGAGATTGAGAAGTTGGAAAGTCTCACGGGGGAATCAAACCCCTTAATGCGACTTCTAATTATAAGACTTAGTGTGAAGCATCTCTAACTACCTAAGAAACGAAGTCTCGGTAATGTTTCGGGAATAGGAATAGTTAATGTTTAATATATCACAGTTCAGACTATATTTAGATTGAGTGTATCCTCTCGTAAAATATTAAGAAGCAATTTGAAGCTATATAATTGTGATCTCGCGTTGCGAAAGATGATCAAAATTCGTTCTAGGCACATTTTCAAATGACCCAATACGCTTGAACGTTTCTTTCTCGGACTTTAGGAGAAGCAAGCCTATCGATATAGTCTTTTCGAAAGTCCAGATTGGAAGACAGAAGACTTGCATTGAAGGCCAATTACCTGACTCGTCATGAAAGGCCTTGAACCTCGAATCCTGATCAGTTGATTCATTGTCTTCTGCCTCCTTCGAACTGCCTTGCCTGGACTGAGCCAAACAACAAGCATCGATAGCCCTTGACATGTCATCGTCTTCGTCGGCCCAGAGAATGTGCTTTCCAGAAGGGTTAAACCACCCCTGCCTCAGCACACCTTTTAACTTCAAGGACCCAGGTAAGTTGCCACAAAATCGAGAATTGCCACAATCCAGCGAAATACTCCGGGCCTAGTAGAGGTGAGAACCCTTGAGCCACAGCTGAAATCGCATTCAATTTGTCACGGGAAAGAGATGATGAGCGCTTTGAATAGACGCTCACAAGCCGCATCCACCGCCCCAGTTCACCTTTCGAATCAGAAGCGGGCTTGTTCAAAGCATAGAATGATCGAGAAGTTTGCTCATCGTCGGAGTAGTGTACGAGATGGAGGGAATTTCCATGGTTTCGTACACCGGCATTACAGCGCCATTGTAAGGTATGCGATGAATAGATCAGATACCTGTGTGCAAGCATACTTTCTTGTAATGTCCAAGCCCTTCTGTTGATAGGTTCTTCGGATTCTTCATATTCCCTTTCGTCTAGTTCCTGCACTGACATGGTCCCAAATTGGCTTCCAGAAAGACGAAACGGGATGTTGAAAGATTCCATAGGCATTTTCCGTGGTTGTAAGAACCCTTGTGTAACTCCTTCTGAATTCGCTGCGACGATAGTAACCAAAGAACCTCTATAGACTTGCTCCATCATGGATATTTCAAACGATTTGTCTTCGTCCGAGTCTTGAAGTATGCACAAGGCGTCCACCCAAAGATAAGGAACGGAAATGCTTTTAGTAACTGCGATGGCATCGCGCAGTGTCTGGGGAAGCACTTCTAAGTCCAGGTGTTCAAGGTATTTGTTCAAGTGAGACCGTCTGAGTTCCCCGTATGAATTGCTACCCCAGCAGTAAGAGAGGGCTGCATATCTTCCTTTTTTGCCGGCAGTTGCGAGCAGTCGAGGTCTGTCGGGAGAGATCGCAGGAGCTACCTCTATTACCCGGGTAGGGAGAATCGTTCCAACCTGCCCAGGGCATTGGCTGTGATCGGCACATTCGGCAAGCCAATTTCGAATTTGATGTCTTGATGCATCTGAATATACCTCGGTTTGAACTTCTCTCGCTGTAACAAATGGAGCAGCTTGATCCGTCGAATTGGTAAAGGCGTGAATCCTGAGAGCCCAGCCACCGCGTGTCTCACGTTTTGGAGACTCCAAATCCATGTTCAGGTAATACATGTTCTTTCCAGTAGGCGAGGAATAGTATGGATAGAAATCGCTGAGAGAGATGGATAAAACATCATCTGGATCCCTAGTTTCTTCTTCTCTTGATGTGAATGTCCGCATGTATGAGCACCAGTTGCAGCCATTGCTTGCTGACCCATTTATCTGCTGGACGGTCATCTTACAAGTGATCCGATTGTCACAGTGATTGCCTTCGCATTCACATAAGCAAAGGAGCTGGAACTGTTCTGTATTGAAGAAATTTTGCCAACAGAAATTGCAGACCAAGTTTCTGGCGCACTGGAGAGATGCCATATCGATTCCTTCGATTTGAGGGCTACGTGAGAGTGAGTGAGGCGTTTGAGAAAAAGGTGGAAGTCGCCTATGGTCACGTGATAATAGCATTAGCCCCTTCAGCGCTAGCGCGTAAAGTGGATTTAAGGAGTCGCGTCTTCCATGACTAAGTTCGTCTTTTTCACCACCAGCGAGTCTATTTCCGTCCAACACCTGGAATTCCATCCTTCCAAACTTGATTGAAACGAATGTGGGACGTGATTGACGCGACAGACACTTGCACGACGCGTCTCCCCATTCTACCATCAGATATTCCCTTTCGTATCTTCACAGAACCTTTCAAGAAGCCCCGACAAATTTGACTTGACAAAATCAAGAGCTGGTCAAGATGGGGTAATCAAGTAGACCTAGCATTTACACTGCCATATACAGTAACGTATGCGCTCTGCAATTTTATCTCATTACGTGTCCGCGACGTAAAAACTGACCTCACCTAGATCCCTGTCTACAAGTATCAATTCGGAGAAGGGCTCAAGGGGCATGGGACGTTCACTGTTGATCAAATATCTTTCGCAGATATATACTAAAAGTGCTGCTAGTTATGCGCCGCCGTGGTGACGATTGGATCAATGCGACGCACATTCTCAAAGCTGCCAGTTTCGACAAGCCCGCGAGAACTCGAATCCTAGAGCGAGAGGTCCAGAAGGGGACGCATGAGAATTTTCAGGGGGGCTATGGAAAATAACAGGGTCTGTTGGGAAAGTGAGCTCTGTAGAAGGAGATGCTGATATTCAGAAGGTACCTGGGTCCCACTCGAACAAGGCCAAGCTCTGGCGCAACGTAACCAGATCTACGACAAGATTCACATGATATTTGAGTTCACTCCTGGCAACATCAGCCCCCCTCCCGCTTCCAAGCATATCACTGCGAAACCGAAGCTCCCCAAGAAGCCCGCTGTCCCAAAATGGTCCCGCAGTAGGTGTCTTACGCCCGTTATCTGCGAAGACAAGCGCTAACAGTAAAGAGCCAGTGGCCGCACCATCTCGTGCGATGGACGACGAGTACGACAATATAAGCGCTTTGAATGATGACGGAAGTGTTGCTGATGATACCACAGTTGCTTCGGCTTCTTATGCGCCGGAGGACGACCGATTTGATATGTCTCAACCATCCACTGATCACCGGAAGCGCAAGCGGGAGGACCACGTGCAGAGCATTATCGAGCAAGCCCAGATGCTATACTCTGATGACCGGAGTGCCGCGCCGATGTTGCCTAGTCTTGCATGAAAGATACGGTACCGGACGTTTGTGAGGAGCGCCAGACGTTGACATCTCCTAAGACTTGTGCTGTCGTTCTTTCGGACTTTTGAAACCATATAGAAACTAATGCACGTAAAGATCGCAGAGTAGGGAGTTGTATTAAATGGTAAAAGAGTTAATTGAACTAGCTAGAAAAGATCTCAAGTGAAGTGTAAAGCTTCAGGATATGAGTGCACAGATCCTGACAAGCAGAGCGATCGCGCTAGCCCCAAATCAGTGATTCTCACTGCAACACACCCCCCAGGAAGGCACGATTATCGTGTTCTACCTGTTCTACCCAATCAGAGAGATTTGAAATGGCAAAAATCGTCCGACATATGGGTTTTAGAGAGCCGCATCGATTTCCGATCCGAATAGGCTTAGCGCGTATCGTTTCCCCAGATCGCCGAATTCCAGGGGAAGCCTATAGAGCCCGAAAATTTAGCGATCAAGCGCCTGGAACTAATTTCCCTCGTATGCAATTATCGCCTTGCCTGTTCCACACCCCAAATTAGAGCTCTTATATACAAACTTCCTTATACCTATATTAGGAAATCTGATTCGAGAGAAGGACTTATGTAAGTACAAGCAACCAATTGGGCATTATTAAAACTCTAAAATCCACTGATTCGTGTAATCGACACCCCGGGGGTGTCGTTTTACATTTTCCCCTCATAGTGCCTTAAAAATTCCGACTTTCCTTACTCTCTTTAAATTTCCTTAAATTTACTAATTATTATATAATAAAAACTGTATATCCTATTAGCTTATAATCTGGCTTTCTATAATATAAAAAAAGAATTAAATTATAATAATTCCTTATATAGTAAATTAAACTTAAAGGAAAACTAGATTTTTTGGTGTTCTCTCTACGTTAGGTTAGTCCGGCCCCCAATCGACACCCCGGGAGGGGGGGAGGGGTTTCGTTTTACATTTCCCCCAAAACCCCCCAAAGCGAACATTCAACAAAATCTTAAAATTCTGAAGTGCCAGGAGTTGACGGCGAGACTATCAGGAGTCCTAGTCCAATTATTTTTTACAAGTGGCAGTGAAATCTGTCTATTTTGCTAAGCGAGCTCCTCCAAAATAATTACCTCTAAGTCGGAGAAAAAATGGTCAACAAATCAACCCTTTTCCCCCTGCAACTTCTTACAGCTCCTAGTAGATCTCGCAAGTCTTAACGCATATTTTTTGCGCTTTGATTTGAGTTGGGTTCTCGCAAATACAAGTCAAGAGGCGCAGATTTTGGTGTTCGCGCAGTCGCCAAAATCGGCCACTTTTTGCTCCTACGGAGAGCTCGCATTAAAATAATCTTGATTAATATCGCGACATTTAAAAGAATATATATCAAATTGTTATATGACGAATATTAAGCGAACCTGATTATACCAACGTTGATAGCAAGTACATTCACTAAGAGTTAACCAGTCAATAAATGTCGACGAAGCTTGGGGAGAATCCATGCCAGGCTCGAGCCACCACTTCTCTTCCCTCTCTATCATTTCGGCGAGAGCTTGGAGTTGGTGATCGAGTTTCGGCTCCTGGGTGGGAGTGATGGTGACCTTGGGCATTTTGACTGTCGAAGGGGTAGGCGGGTTGAGTGAGGGAAGTGTTGAGATCGCAGGTTAGAGGAACGGGTCTAATGTTTATGTAGGAAGAAGGAGCTTTTTACGACTCGCTGCTAAAGAATAAATTGAGTATTTAGGCATATAAATTTCTGCATTGAAGTAAATTTGATTATTAGCGTGTATTTGCTCATATTATTTCGAAACTTCGCTGCATTACTATAGCAAAATTAATCAAAGTATTACCACAATGTCCCTCACCATGTAGAAACAACGATTTCGCCAAGTCCCTCCCCCCCTGATGGCTCACCGTATCTCGAAAACCGTCGTTGCTATACTGTGGTTATTTTGATACGCCATAGCCTCGCCGTCCATCATGCCGTACACATAGCACTCTCCCATCACCTCATAGTGCCACTGACCCCCTTCCCCATATTTGCTCATTTTGGTGGTAAAATTCGTCTCGATGGTCTCGGTGTATTTGACTTTCTCCTCCTCAGTCAGCCGCTGTGTTACCCTGATAAGAGCAGAAACCGGCTTTGTGATTCCTATCTCCTGACTCTTTTTCTGGTCTTTCTCTGCAACCTGCTCAATATCTTCCCGTACACCTTCTTCGTGACCTTTCTCTTTGATCTTTCCCTTTAAAATTTCACCCCCCTTCTTCTCATTCAACCCCTCAGCGTTCCCATCATCTGCATGCTCTCCGTGGTTAATTCCTCCGTTTTGCACAACATTGCGGCTATCTTGCTGTTCATCAAGGTTTTCTTTTTCCATCTCGAGTCTCTCCTTTTCTCTCTGTTCTTTCTGTCGTTTCTTTTCCACGTTGGAGGGTCGGGTATAGTTGAGGTGAAACTTGCCATCTTTGCCGATGATTCTAGGGGCATCTCGTAGCCACATTGCAAGATCGTTTTCTATTCGGGCCTGTGTAGCGGCCCGATGCTCTTCTTTGGCCTGAAGTAGCACGAGTTTCGTTCTGTCTGCCGCTAAATCGGTTTGAGAGCGTTTCAGAGACAGCTTCTCTTGTCGATTTTGCTCATCCTCAACATTGATTAGTGGATTATGAAGGGCTTCTTGCTTGTATTCACCATGCGCGATCGAATTATTTTGGCTACTGGAGCCCTGCAATAACGGCTGTGAAGGGCGACTGGCTGTTTGAGTTGGCCCCTCGTGAGATTGACCGGGTATGGCGTTGTGCCTCCCATTGTGGATTTTGAGATCAGGGGAAGTGTTATTAGTTAGGTCATTCGGGTCATTCGGGTCGGCTCCAGCTTGAAGTTCGTCATTATTTGTGGGAATATTCGTTTCCAGCTCACTCACCTGTCTCTTCAAATGTTGACCAATTGCGGTACTCAACTGCACAATCTCCGCTTTTCTTCAGAAAATAACGCGTTCGTGTCAATTGTCGCTGTTTAACTCGTTGGGGTTCTGACCACTCTTTCAAGTAGTCTCGTTTTCCCTTTCTAATGAGCTTCACCCAATGCCGACCGTAGCTGAGCATGATTTCGAATTCTTCCCAATTGACCTTTTCAGGTTTCCAACCCCTTCTCCACCTCTCTAGGAAACGCTCCTTGTCTCGCTTTTGTGCTTCCTCTTTTCTCTTTTCAGCTTCCTGGTTCATCTTCTGTTTGAGCTCTGTTTCTATTTTCGTCCATTCGGTCTGCTCCACTTGCAAAGTTTCCAGACGAGTAGCCTCAGGGTTCTCCGAAAGCCAAGCTGTTCGCCATGGCTCAAATATCTTTCTAACCTCATTTGTTATACTCTCATGTCGATCAGGATTCTCTAGGCCCTTTTTCCTCATCCAGGTATTGAACGATTTGACTTCGGGTTCGTTCTTATCCCACGTTGGATCGGCCTCCCACTCTTGTTTCTTATTCAACAGTTCTTCAGACCCACAGAACTTACACTTCTCCCTCAGCCAAGCTCTGAAAGAGTCAGTACAGAGAAACCAGGAGTTTTCTGCTGCCCACTCCGTCTTCCACTTGTTCGCTGGCGGCTCGTTCCATTCCGCTTCTTTCAGGTCATCAGAATAACCAATTGGTTTTTTGTAGACCTTCGCCGACCATACAAGGAAGCCTTCACTTTTGAGGTACTTCTCGTTTTGCTCTTGCAACCAGACTCTCCACTCTTTGTCCTCGCGAAAAAGATCCCACAACTTCATCTGATCTTCCGTCAGTTTAAAAGGCTCTCCAAATGACGCTTCGTTGCTTGAAACCCGAAGTTTATCCATGAAATTCTCGTGCGTATATCCATTCTCTGTAGCCCAGGTGGCAATGTCGTATATCTGTGGGAGCAGGACGTTGACATAGCCTTGGATGGCCGCCTCCGTAGCATCGCAATCCCTTGCGTTCCCTAGCTCTGATAGCTTCTTCTTCTTTATCACCCAAATCCTGAACTCATGAATTCGCATCAAGCCGGCCCGCACCAAGGGCCACTTTTCGCTCCAACCCTTATCTTCCTTACAGTCCTTGCGTCTCTCCTCCTCCCAAGCCTTGTAGGTCTCCTTGTCCTCTTCGCGTTTCTTTCGAAAAGTCTCACGTCTCTCTAGACGACTGTGATACCTCTCGCCAATATGATTAGCAAGAAATTTGAGCTCCCACTTCATTTCGCTCTCCATGACATCATTCTTCTTGGGACCAAATAGCCTGAGTATCACAGGCACGCTGCATCCGTAGAGAATGCATACAAGGTCACCCTCCTTTACGTTACTCGCGACCAGTCCCAGACGTCCAGCTTTCGTCTTCACCAGAGCCCGGTTCCAGATCGCGGCTTGTACGCGGCGGCAGAATTGTGCCACTACTGAATTGCGCTCATGCTCAATAAGACCAGTAGTATCAACAACACCGGATGTCGTATTGCCCTTGCGGAAAGATTCCTGGCAAGCACGCGCATAGTAGACCGGAGGGTTCTTCCCGTCGCTCCCTCTGTCTGCCACTAATGTCCTCCAGAAATGCTCAGGTGGCGTGGTTATCATGTCCCAGTTGGCAAAATTTGCCCATGCAGTCGGTATCGACCCACTCTGAGAAGAGTTCTGGAGCTCGACTATGGTATCCAGTACAAATCCTCGGACAAAAAGGCTGAAATGATTGAGAATCGGATGAGTGCTCTCTGAGGATGGTTGAGAAACAGCCGGCATCGATGTCGTGTTCATGGGTAACTCTGGGGAGGCTATCGTTGTAGATTTACCTTTTTCAGGTGCAGCAATTGGATTCACGACTTTCTGAGCGGCATCTTTCGCGTGGGTTGCCGAAGATGCAGCCAAAGTTGACTGCGGACGAGCCCCGCCAGCGTTGCTTGGCTCAACAGACTTTCGCGGCCCGCCAAATTCTTTTGTTTTTGCAGATGATGGAACTTCAGTGGTTTCCTCTTTAGTGTCATCCTCTTGCGTAGTGGAAGACGATGCTGAGTGAGAGGCGACTGCTTGCTGGCCCTCTTCGGCATCGGCTGGCTTCCCATTGACCTTTGGTTTTGGGACTGTCCTCTTACGAAATCGAAATACCTTCCCATCCAACTTCTTCGTCTCGGCCGCATTATAGTTTCGGTGTGTGACGTTGGGCAGGCCGACTAGCGAATCGGCATTTTTGCGACCCATTCTTAGCCCATCGATACCCGGCCCACGATCCATGCCGTATGATGCTTTTGACAACCGAGGGACCCAAGAAGGGAAAGGCAGCTCATCTGGTTTCTGGTCGATCTCTATTGCAAATGGTCGACATATAACATCAAGCACCCTCGACGGATCGCGGTGCGCGTTCTGACGCACACAGAATTCGATAAACTCTTTACAGATATCGATATAATCGGCGGTATAGTCCACATTGTATTGCTTCTTTTCGGTAAACATCTCTAGAACTGCTTGGGTATGATCCGTAACGAGTAATTTTTTATTCGCAGCTGTCGGTGTAGTGTCCTTCGAGATTCCTAGTAGTGCATAGATAGAGTCGTGCGCATTGGTGACGTCAAAGATTGAAAGGTTGGATACCAAGTACTCGAGGGTCAGGAGAGGTTGGGCTTTTGCCATGGCGTCTAGAGTCTTCTGATTTTGTTCGTAGTGTTTCTCCGCTTCTTCTTTGTAAAGCTTAGCTCGTACCTCTGGCGTGACCACCTCATCGTCCTCAGGCTCGCGATCAAGTGTGTCGGGAGGTGGATCTATTAGCATCTCAGGAGTAGTCTTGGGTTTGCTCCTTGCTGGTTTCGATCGGGGCTGCAATCGTCTGATATAATCATAGTCGCGGAACAGCTTTCCCGTCGCGTCGACCAAGAGACTCGCCCCCAACTGTGAAATGTACTCGAAATACCTGGGTACGTGATTGGTTTTGGTATCTGTTTTCATGATCTGGATAAAGTATTTGTTAGGATCTATTTTTCGGGGTACTCGACTTGAACTTGTCATCGAATCTATCAATGCCAAAAATAAGATGAAAACGTTGATTCTTACCTCGGACAATCTATGGGTAGCTGTCTCTGCCTCGACAAAAAGCTCGACAGCGACAGCGAATTTATTCCACGAAAGTTTTGCTGACCCGCAATGAATGATGGCCTTGGGAGCTAAAGCGACCTCCTGCACAACCCAGCGACGCGAGAACCATTCACGCTGCATGAGTTCCAGTAAAGCTTTCCACTTCTCGCTAAACTCACTGCTTCGGCACAAATCGTCGAAGTGTTGCAATTGGAGCACCTGCTGCTTGATAAAGAGTATGGCAAGCTCAGCGGACTTGTCAAGATCACCAAGCCAAATTCGCACACAATCAGCTCTGCCATAAATGTCCGCCATCATTTCGACCTGACTGTTCTTCTCTGGTTTATAGTCCTGGTTGATGCAGATTGCATCAGCCCATATATGTCGGTCACAGTTTCTATGCCGAAGGGCTCGTAGTGCGGAAACCAAGCTAGGCTGGACGAACTTCACGTAGCTCACTCCGTCGAGCCGAATATTTATCTTCCCGTTCTGTCGCCCCTTGCCCCAACACCATGAGAGAGCATCGTAAGGCTTGAATTCTAAGGGGTGCGGTTTATGTTCTTTACATTCCTTGTAACTCAGAATAGTTCCGGTTATAAGCTCGCAAACCACATCATCGTGGTCGGATGACGCGCAATGGACTTTCAATATCCGGATGGCGCCTCTGTCATTCACAGGAATCTTATCGTATTGGGCCTTCTCGAAAACCAGTTCGCCATGGACACGATAATCAGTTTTAGGCAAAAGTGATGATGCCGCTGTCTGTGCCGAGCCAACTGAAGATGCCATTGTGCGAAAGAAGGTAATGTGCATATGAGAAGACCACGTCCTTGAGAGTGTCGCGCAAAAGAGAGAAAAGCATGCGACTCATCTTCAGACGGGACCGTGAGGGGTTTATCATTCTTTCATTTGGTGGGCACCCCCTCGTAGCGCTTTCTTGGGGCTTTTAAACCACTTCTATCGAATCAACCAAGAGCTGCGGCTGAGAGCCTCGCCAGCTCGCGTGAGTATTGGACGCCAACTGCAAATCTCGCCAGAAGGAAGAAATCCGTACACACCACCAAGATCTCATTGGCTTGGTCTCACTCTCATCCAACTCAGCTGTGCAATCCCATGCGGCTTGCAGGGCGACAACCATCATCTATGCAGTGTAACATGATAACATACGAGAAGGGGAGGTTTTAACGAATATGAGGAAAGAGCTGAATACTCGACAAGCCTATTTTAGAGGTAAGCCGTGCCGTATATTATGGAAGTATGAGCCTTAATTCGAAATAGTTCCGTAGCAGCAGCTCTGCTTACTTGTACCTTTGGGAACAGAAACGGATTTTCTCCATGTCAGGATCGGCGCATGACAATCGGCTGCCGAGTTGATCGGGAATCTGTTGGGCGGACGGCTGGTCCGTTCAGTTAGTGGCTGCAATCGGTCCGCCCGGGCGAACAAAGACCAGGGTTGTATCGAGCTAATTGGAAGGTACCGATTGGCGTAGCGACAGCCATGAGGACCTTGAGCAAGAACGAGCGAAGCGTGCTGAAAATGAGGCTGCTAAAGAAGCCAAAAGCAAGGGCAAACGTGGAAGAGTGCTGCGGCTAGAGGTAGATGCGTTAAGGCTAAATGCTAAGGTGGCGCGGATAAGCAAATACAATGTGAAAGGCAGGTTTGCGGTTGAATCGAAAGTCTCGAAAATCTCGTCAAATTAGATGGGATGAAAGAAAAGTTTCCTTACAACAGTCCCTTTTCATTCTTGATTCGGGAGTCACGAGATCTAGGCTGGAGGACGTCGCACCAAGGTTATTCTAGGTCTCCAGTGGTGGTGCTGGAATCTCCGATAAGCTGCAGCAACCCCTGCAGCAATCCCAATAGTGTGTCTCCCCGTGCACGAATTGAGGGGTTGTCAGCCTAGCAAAAGCTTGTGCGGGCGGGGAATGGTTGGAAAGAAAATCAGTGTGCCCCTGCCAACCCCTGCAACACCCCTGTTTTGCTCGCGTAGCATTCCTAAAACATGGGTGTACGCCCAAAGGGGAAATGACAGGAGGCTAACTCTGATTAGAATATATAAGCACCCTCTCTGGGTAAACCCTAGAACGGGCACTTATGCAATTGAGAATTGGATTCCCTTCTAGCCCCCTTCCCCCGCATTTTGCAAGCTAATTTTTATAATTTTATCATAAAGTAAGGCTTTCTTTTTCGGTTATTCTTTAGCCCCCGGTATGTATACAAAAGGTGGGCAAGACATATGTCCCTCTATCCCTTACTTATAATCGCTTAGGAAATATATTCTCAAGGATATATATACGCTTCCTGCATTTAAGGTATAGGTATATATACGCTCCTATAAGGCGCTGAAGGCGCCGAACGCCGTACCCCTGGCCTCCTAAGCTCCTAGTATTAGTAGAGAATATACTTTAAATATAGATGTGCTTTGTATACAGATGTGTCCCATACGCAGTTGTGCCCTATATGCCGTAAGGCGCCGAACGGGGTGCCCTTAGCCTATTAAGGTCCTAATATTAGTAGAGAAATAAGCTTTAGAACTCCCAGAACTAGTGCTCTGTCTAGTTCAGCTTACGATCATAAAACCGCAAGCAGAAGGTACTCTAGCTTCTTTTATATTTCATTCGTTAGATATTATAGTATTCAGGCTAGTGGCGTTGCACAGATTTCAATGCTCCTTCATCCTGTAGGGCACGGCTGTGTAATTAATCACGCTAACAGCGTGGAAGGGCCGACTTGATTCTCCAGGTTTCGTTATCTGAAGAGAAAGATCCTTTTATTGCACAACCCCTGCTAGTATCCAAATCGTCATCCGTAACCCCCACAATATTTCCAATAGGTCTCCTATTTTATTGCCTCGCAAACCATCTACATCGAGGTGCTAATAAGAGAGCCACGTCAGAGTGACCAGCAGATGGGCGCTGTCGGGACATGCACTCATCCCTCTATATATTTGGGCACTATGCAGTGTGACACGACCGTCATACCGCATATGAATAGACCTACATCAAGAGCGGGGTAAGCTTCCTTATTATCTGAGTTCTAAAGCGCGTATTGAGGCTCGAGGCTCGGTTCGGCTCGGCTCGACCCTTCCTAACAGGGGAATTCGTAGATGATTTATCAGCCCACAACATTAACTGGGCGTCGATGGCACATAACCACGATTTGGATCAGAGCAGGGTTACATAGGCTGTGCAAGGCAAAGCAGAGCGAGAGCCTTCCTTAGCGTCTCGTTTGGTAACGGATACAAGTAGCTCTGGGTTTCCGACTGGAAAGATGACTGTTTGAAGTTGTACGCAATTACGAGATTATTCTATAAACAGAAAACGTAATGTCTTTTTCACAAGCTTCACTGTACTTCTTAACGGCAACGTCTAGTTGTCCCAGAATCTCAAGAGGGCTGGAAGGCTTAGATGGTACTATTTCTGTTAATGAGGTTGGGGTTTGAGAGGGCAGAACGTTAGTGATATTAATGGGTGGGAGACCAGCCACAGTCGAAGCTCTACGTTTTCGCTGCCGTTCTACATCTTGCTATTCTTCAGCATAGAGTTGTTCACGAATATCGTCTGGTATAAGATAGCGGGCGTCTAAAACCAGAGATTTGCGAGATCAATTCCACTTGTTAATGCGATCCCGGCTCTTCCGCTCCTCCGCTCCTCCGCTCCTGTCTTGCAGGCCCGCGCGTGACCGCTAGCGCGCGCGGCCGCTTATTACAGCGATATGCGAAACTAGCTTTAAAACACCTTTTTTTTTATTTTACCGAGCTTTGAAAATCGCGTCTGGAGAAGAACGATCACCAACCATAGATTTCCAATTTTTGTAATTACTGTATTCCAGAACCACTTTATCAATTGATCCGTAACACTGCAAAATTGAAGTTTGCCATGCCTCCCGCAAGATCCTCTAAGCGCCTGCAAGCCAAAGCACCTACTGCTAAGAAATCTCCGAAACGGGTGCTCTGTTTTAATAGAAATACTCTGGCCGAATTCAATGTATTCTAATCGCTTGTTTAATAGCGGAAGAGACCCAAAAAGCAAGCTATAGTGCCTATAAACGTTCCTGAACCCGAAATCGAGAGAAATCCGGTATCTGGTACTCTAATTATTATTTTAAGTAATTCTCTAGTAAAATGCTTTTATTATATTCTTAATATAATTATATATTCTAAATATTAATATAATAGAGCTTTATAATAATTCTTTTATTTTTTCTAATAATTAGTTAAATAATTTACTTATTACTATAAAATATAATTTAAAGCTTTTTAAAATCTAAATATAGATTTCTAAATAGTTTCTAGAAAGCTATAATTTCCTTTATTATATAAATAACTCTATATATTTCTAATTTAGTTAAAGAAATAATTATAATATTTTATTAAATAGCTTTTTATAATATTAAACTTCTAAATAAGAAAATTATATATCTATAGCTTAATTATTATATATCTATAGCTTAATTATTATATATTTAGGTTATTTATATATAAAGTATTAGATATAATTTATAGTTATATCTTTCTATATTTCCTATTATATTAGATTACTAAAAACCGGATTTTAAATAAATATTAGAAAGCCTAATCTATAGCTATAAAATATTCTAAAATAGAATTTATTAAGAACTAAAAGAATAATAAAATAGTAAAAGCTATATCTGATCTAATTATAATTATAATATAAAATAATAATCTAACTTTCTTTTAATATATTTTAATTTAATATAAATAAACTTAACTATTATATATCTAAAAATTAATTTCAAATAATAAAATACTAGAATATTTTTTATTTATTATTTTAAACTTTTTCGTAATTTTTTTAATATAAATATTATAAACTAGTTAGAGCTTTTTAGCTTTTTAATTTCTAATTATATAAACTTCTAGAAACTATTCTATATCTTATATATTATAAAATTTATAAATTCTTTTAATTTAAATAATAATTAATTAAATATATATTCTATTATTTTTATAATAAAACACTTAAAAGTTATTTAAATAAAAAATAATAAAAAACTTATAATTTATATAAATATAAATATAGAACTTTTTATTAAATCTAGAAAATCTAATTCTTTTTAGAATATTTATCTAATATTTATATTATAGAATAGAAGAGTTTTATAGCCTATATAAAGCTTAATCTATTTCTATTATATAGCCTAATATTTTAAAACTATCTAATAGCTTATATATTATTATAGATTTATTAGAATTTCTTTTTATATTAATAAATATATTTATAATATTAAATTACTTTATTTCTAGATTAAAATAAATTATAATTATATTAGTTATTTAAAAACATTTTATTATAAATATAATAATATATATATAAATAAAAGTAATATCTTTTTTTTAGAAATCTTTATAAACTATTAGCTTTAAATAATACTAAATAATATATTTATTAGAATTAATTTTATATATAAATACTTATTTTAAAAGAATTAGAAATATATTTATTTTATTACTAGAAATAATTCTTTAGTAATTTTGAATTTTAAAATTATTAATCTCTAGTTTAGTATCTAATTTAAAATAATTTTTAGCTAGATATTTCTCTAGATTATTTTATATCTTTAGAGCTTTTAAAAAATTATTAATATAAATTTTTATTATTATTATATTATCTGGAATTTTTTATTCTAGATATATTTTTAATTAAACTGCTATTATAATTATAGTATAAATAGTTTTATAATTAAATTTCTTTTTATAATTCTCTAGCTAATTAGACTAATTTTTTTTAAAAGAAATTCTAAATAATTAATCTAATTTAATTTATTT